AAGGGATAAGCAAGGTAAAGACATTTTACAAGGCATCACATGTATTAAATAATCAAGTCCCAGGAAGATATTTACAACTATGAAATGAAATAGCTAGGCAACAATAAGAAATTACTGGGTAGGAAAGAAATAACCCTGGGGAGGCAATGAAATGAAAGGCTAGGCAACAAAGAAACAGGAAAGAAATGGGACTGAGGGGCAATGAAATAAATGGCCAGACAAAAAAGAAATAGTTATGAAAAGGTATAGGGAAGGAATAAAATGGATACGAAACAACTATGGGAGGGAATGAAACACATTTCATAATGCTTGCCCTACATTTCTCATTTCATAAAAAACCTGGGCAGTGTCCAAAAAGTTGTGCAGGCACTTGCCCAAATTTTATCATAAAAGTGGTAGGTACCACTCCTAAAAATGAGACAAACTTCAATAAAAGCTTCGGAAGTAAATTATCTGGACTCACGCTATGACGCCAAGCATAATTGCCTGACATGAAGTCACTCCAACGCTGCTTGCCAGATTTGTCAAGACCAATATAAGGTGCGTAATCAAAGTGGCCATCGAACTCCGGCTTGTCGAGCATCTGGGTCATGATGACCTCAGGATCCCGAAACCAGACCTCGTATTCTGCTGACTTCCAAGAGGGATCACTCGGCTGTACATCCCCGGTATAGCTCACAGTAAAACATTTCCAGGGTGCATCACCAAGCTGGATTGCATCGATGCTGGAGTACATATGCTCGTATGAGGTGAAGGGACCCAATTGATCAGATTTCATCTTATCTAAAGCCCATAACTCTAGAAGTTCGTCAATGTTTCCTGCCGACATCTCAACGCAGCGGTACAAGAAATCTGCGGTCCGACACTGAATTTCGCTCTCGAACGGCGACCAATCTGTCGGCTGTGCAGCTGTCCTGGGAAGAGGTAGGGTACCAGGAGGAAGTGGATTGCCTTCAGAATCACAGGGGACACCAATGTGGAGTGAGAACCATGCAAACGAAAGAAAATGTCATGACTTACCAGTGAGGTGTGGATGAAAAATTTGTGATGGCCTCGGTGGAGGGGCTTGTTGCGGCTCAGGTGAGGGAGGTTGGGACCAGGAAGGTTGTGCACTCTCAGCACCTGGTGAGATGTGTCCAAGGCCATCCAAATCATGAAAATCTTCGCCCACAGAAGGGACATCAGAATTAACCCAATTAGAGTTTCGGTGTACAGTGCGGAGGTGGTAGGTGAGACCCCATTGGCATTTGAAGCGCTGTGGGCAACCAGCATGAGAGCAGCGAATGTGAAGCATTGTCGGTCGATAATGAGGGGAGAAGGGCTGAAATGAAAAAACTCCAAGTTCTGAAAAAACTCTAAGTTAGTGGGGCCGGCCCTTCATCCGGTTAGGGGAAATTTTTCTACCTGGTGGACGCGTGGCCATCGGGTAGCGAAAGACCCGTTTGTTTTCTTCAGGTAGTGAAAGACCCGATTATTTTCTTTCCAACCTTCACCACCCTCCCCTCTGTCGCATTCAACACATTCCAATATGTCGGCGAGTTGTCCTAAGTGTGCAAATGCTAATCAGCACCCTGCACAGATCCTTCTCAATAGCACAACGAAATGACGAACCTCTGCTCAAGTCAAGGCTGATAACGAGGCAGCAGCTGCCGTTGTTGCAACTACTGCCTCAGTCGCAGCGACTAAGGAAGCTGCGATGAAGGCTCGGATTGCCCAGCTCGAGGACAGCATCCGTGCTGCAGACCGAGCAAGTGCTGGTCAAGCTATGCGTCCCAACCTTCATAAGTCGTCAATGTCTACCAACTGTGTATGTAAATACCAAAAAGCCATGCTTACTCAATACTAACTTCAGTTTATATTTGCTAGGTGATGATAGCACCAGTTGGGGCCATGGCACCTGCACTAGTGGAGCACTCAGCAGGGATTCCAGTCATCTGCCAGAAAGGACTTACTTACCGTGTTACACGTCCACCCTCAAGCGCGTCAATGAGATCTGAAGAACCAGTCGAGAATGTGGCCATTGATGTTGATGCAGATGGAGGCGTCTCAGATGGCATGACAGGCATCCCCCCCAAGTCAATGGTTGACAGCGAGAGCGATGGTTTGGGAGTTGGCGAGTGGGAAGACAAAGGAGAAGATGATGAAGACTTCGTGATGCAACAGAACCAAAGTGATGACGAAGAAGCTGTACCAATTTCTGTAAAAGGCAAACAGGTCGCAAAGGGCAAAAAGAACAAGGTAACATACCAGATTGTTCAACATCCCTTCTGACACACATCCTCTCCAGGCACCACCTCGTGGAACGTTTCATCAAGATATTCAAGAACTCCGCCAGAATCCAGCCGTCGCTGGTGCTGTTGTATCAACAAACAAACGCAAGGATGTTGTGACGGTTGAGGATGCACCGAGGTGAGTGCACATTTTACTGTGGTGACATTGTGTTGATATGCGGGACCGAACTGCTAGTGTGAAGCGCGGAAAGAAAACAGATGGCGGGTTACTTCCTGGCTGGAAGAAGCAGGTAGGGTACCAGCTGGGCATGAAGAAACAAACCCTGCCTGCTCAAAACGTTGATAATGATCAAGACGACTGTGATAAGTTGGGCGAGTTCGATCAGGAGGAAACCCTGGAAGGCCTGGCTGCTGTGCAAGCGTCGAAACTGTCAATGGTTAAGATTCGAGATGGGCAAAAGGGGGTCGAACTGGTGAGTCAGCTGTGTTCTCCTTTTTTTCAACGCTTTGATTTTATTGCACCTCAGAAGACCAAAATCACCGAGAAGTCAGTCACCACCTTGACACCAATGGACCTGGAGGCCGCGGCAAGCGTGGAAAGTTTACCACCAGCTCACTGCCATTCCCCAGTGGTGCATCGGGCGCTGCGTATGTTGCCAAATGGAAGAAGGTTGCGTGCACAATGATTATTGACAGGGGGGCTGTAGAACTCTGTGCCTACGCCGCTATTGGCGCATTCATGCCACTCGTTGTCCAGGATATTTGGAGGGAGGTCTTTCCAGACCTCGACATGTATGAATACATGCAATCGAGTGCGGAGGAACCGGTTGACGCCATCATTGCCCTGGTAAGATCCTCCATCATCTATTATTTATGTCTTACCCCAAGCTATCCACTATTTAGGCTGGGGATGTCTTGACCAACTGGCGCAGCACTATTGGAACCAGTGCATTGCAGGTCCTCTCCAATTTCTTCCGGGACCAGTCCTTCGCTCAAGACGACATCATTGCGTATTGCAAAACTGAACGCCTGAACTTCAAGTTCATATATCAAGACCCTTTGGCCCCTGCAGTACGTACTGGATTCTATCGCTTTCTGTGTTCTCCTACTGATCATCATCACAGGGCAAGAAGGGGGCACTCCAGTCTGACCTCATCCTCGAGGTCTTTACCTGCCACTTCAAGAAGACGGCCTTCGCCGCAAAATCATATGGTCTCCCAGTGGGAGGATTGGGATTGTCAACTGCTGCAGTAAGCCACAACTCCTCCTACCTTTCAATTGGTTACTAAGCTTGGCTCAGCTTGAATGTGCGCTCTCCCTCTGGTCCTCTGGCATGGATCCTATTAGAGATGAAAAAGGGAACAAAAAGACTGTTCAGATGTTCGGCGAGAGCGAGTGGGGTGAAAAATCCTGCTCTTGGATTTCGGTAGCCACGCGACTTGCGCCAAAGGACTGGGCATCAATTCTCGCCGAGGCAAACACTAGGGCGGGGATCTTTTCTGCTGATGACGACGATGACCATGACGAGGACAGTGTTGATCCTCAAACTCTTGTTGAACTTTGGTACGCTTTTTTTTGCTTCATTCCCTTGTTGCTTTGTTGACTTGCATCTAGATGTCTGGGCAGTCATCACTGGGATTCTACAAGCTCATTTTTGCGAGGGTCAGGAAATCTAAAAGTACCATCAACGTGCATAAAAGGGTTGTCATAGTCATTTTACATAGTCTACCAAGTACCCTAAATACGAAAATTCAACAATTTTACCTGCTCCAACCTCATCCTAAGCATCCCCAATTCAACGCCATTTGGCCAAGTCATGGAGAATTGTGGTCATTTGGGTCTCGTTTGGCCGATTTCCAGGTAATTAAAACAGATCTCTTTTTTTGGCCAAGCAGGTAAACTTGGGTGATCAGGAATCTTGGCAACATCGGATGACTGGCCCAAGCCCTCCCAAACAAAGTGCGATCTTGCTGATGTGTGTGGTTCCCCGCTTTTTTTACGATAAACTGAACGATTCTCACAGACAAAGCAAACCTGTCCGACATACATGTTGTGCATGGGCTGAACACCAAGAACTCCGTTCTCGCGTGTTTATATTGGAGGGAAGGGACGTAGGCAATGTTCCGGTCTATGTGGATATCAATGAAGTTATCACCAAAGTTGAGTCAATCTGGAAGACAAAGAGTCATCCAATAACTCATGAACAACTTTCATCGTTAGTTCATTATGGGAATCACATACAGAAACCTACCACCCATCGTCATGGACAACTACTAGTAGCGAACGGATCTCAAGTATAATTGTTGCTGAGTTGTGCTATAGAAGATCTTGAAACCAGGTGAAGGCCACCGCGATGTATTAGCGATAGGTAGCTTCATAAAACATATGAGGACTATCTTCGTACTTATAATGTGATGGAAGAGAAGATTACTTATGCACCCAAGCGTTGTCATAGCCTGCTGCAACAACAGAAACCATGAAGTTTGCATGGTTACCAGCGGATATCCTTTGCAACACCCTAAGTCTTCGCACAACCATTCCACAACTTCTTTAATGGCCAACAAACTTTTTGAAGAAAGTCAACAATTTGGCAAGCATTTTGAAAGCTGAGGTGTCATGAAGTGCTTTCTTTTCATCCACCATCTTGGTCTGAATCTTCAAGATGTTTGGCCAAGAGGCTGTGGAATCAAACATATCAATGATCTTCCACGCAGTCTTGTGTTCCCTGGGCTCCAAATGCGCTACCTGGCAGCCCTGTGCTATCATTCCCTCCCAAAACTCTGATCTAGCCGAGCTTTGCATTTCGAACCAATATCGGTGTTGACCTGGTCCCAGAAGGTGGCTGTGAGAATCACATTTTTCAGCACATTGGGACCGCAAAGCTGCTCGAATATCTTCAAGTTTATAAGAGGAGTACCACACATTTTAGCGTCTGCAATACTGCAAAACTGGATGATGCCGCTAAGGATGATGCGTCGCCTGTAACTGGGATCAGAAAGAGGTTGTCAACGTGTTCGCACTGCTGCCAGACAATATACTTACGATTCCGTTAACTGTTGGGTGATGATAGTGAGAATTTCATAATCTGTGCGTTTGGAATCGTCAAACCCGAGAGTATCAATGAGAAAGATCCTTCGTCCAGAACCATCAGGGTGTAGACATGTGAAGACTTGAACTTCTTGGGTGCAAGAGTCAACTGAATCATTGACGTATGCAACAGATTTGTCCCATCAGTGTGTTGATAAACTAGGAGGTCATCTTCATGATAGGATTGGAGAAGGCCAACAAAGACATGGACCAAACTCTTCCCTGTCCCAGTTGGGCCCATCAACCTGGTGGGCACCATCAATCCTGTGAACCCACAGAAAGGATTATACTACAGTCATCCACCAGCCAATGAGACACCGCCATCATTTGAGACACTTTTGCCTACCTAATATCTCACTCAATGCTACACCAATTTTTACAAAACAAATTTTAACATGTAGTAAAAGCTCATATCTACCAGTCTACAAAGTTTGGATGCAGTCAAGACAATATTGACGATGCTGTGGAGTTTTCAAAATGGACTGTTTTTCAGAAGTAGCTGAAATACAGTCACACCACTCATTGAGACACCCATAATATTAGTTTTTATTCACGAAAGGTTGTTCAAACATTCTGAAACTTGGCACAGTTATAAGAGGGTATTTATCTCAGATTTTCATGTAGTTTTTGTAGTGAAAGGTTGTGCTTAAATTTGTTGAAGCTAATTTTCCAATTTCGGTGTCTCATTAGCCGGTGGATGACTGTATTACTAATAGTATGGGGAGCGGTAACCGTGCCAATAAAATCGTGCTGTTTGGTTCTGTTTGTCTCGTGCCAAATAGTCAAATTCAGTGGTCGACGACTGTTATTTCACTTCAATTGATACATAGGAACCAATCTACAAGTCTATGTTGTTTGTGGTGATATATAATATACTATTATGATTGAATTTAGTAGCCAAGTTCTATATCTGTGTCACTATACATGTCAGATGCATTTTCCTCTGGAATGTAGCTTTCCTATTCACTCCTCACGTCAAGTTGAGCTTCAAGCTCCTGCTGGTTTTGAGCTTTAGACATTCATATTGTGTTCCGGTCTGTTCTCCAAGTTGTCGGAGTGAATGTTGCAAAGGTTTGTCATTGACTGGGAAGTTTGCAATGTCGATCGTAACTTCCGGCCCAGTTTCCAAGTGTCTTTGCCCATGATATAAGATACTTGTGGTTAACAAGTCAATATATGCAGAGGTAATGAAGATAATGTGTTGCTGACGCCGATAGTCGCACTTTGGTCACACTTCAGTTACTTTCTTTATTGCAACACGTGATCATCAACGTGTCTTACCATGCCATTCCCCCATCATGGATTGCTACCTCATCTGTAGAGGTGTTCTTTCAAATTTTTGCAGGCACAAACTCATGGAGCGTAGGATGGATTTGTTCAGGACAGAATTTTATAAAGGGGTTTGGAAGGCTTGAAGTAAGATATTAACTGATGGAATATTTGTATTTTTGTGCTAAATTGTATACAAGCACCTTTACTTATGCTCCACCTACATATATCCACACTTAAAGTGGCAATCTACTGTTGTGTTGAAGTAAATACGAGCAGTTGAGACGATCAACCATTTTTTGATCAGGTCTTTGGTGATGGGAAAATACGGCGGAGTTGAAAATTTGGCAGTGGGTTGCTGCTCCCCAATACTAACGCAATAATTGTGTCGTCCTGTGTAAGGTCATGGTCGAACGCTAATGGTGCCGTTTCTGAGGAATGATCTGGATCTCTGAGGGGCGGCGGCAAGCCTGCACAGTCCTATAAATCGAACTGGATAGACAGGCAAGCAAGTTAAGGCTGTACCTGTGCCATGCCATTTGGCTTGCCTTCTCCCGAGGTTGAGGTGCTCTGCGTCACTGACGCTTTGATCCTTCGCAAGGAGGGTTATTGCCAATTCTAACGCTGATGCAGCGGTGTTGTCGAGGCGAAAGACTGTGGCTCCTTTATCAATCAAAGGCTTCCAGCTCCCGCTGACCATCATATCCTCATGACCTTTGTCACAACTCGTGGTTGCGAGCACAAGATGCTTGCACATATCCTTGCAATGTTTCCTGATATAATTGTGTAGGAACTGTGTGCTTGCGAACTGGTAACAGAGATTGTCAAGGAGGACAACTCCGTTAAATTTGCCCCGATGTTATCTTTGGTCCTTGTTAGCATCCCTGTCATGATACAGCGTTCAAGGTGTACTTGCTTTGAAGTCAGCCACTCTTTGACAAGGATCTCGATTTGGTCATTGCCTCTTGCAATGCTGCCACAGCCGGGTATCTCAACCAGGATTAAATGTCTTCTGCCGACGCCCGGAATCACGACAGCCTGAACACCAGCATTAGAACCTTGGAGGGAATTGTCCAAAAGTAACAGTGCCCTGGCAAAGTTATTGATGAACTGCATCAATCAGTAGCATTAGCGAAGACAAGTAGCTGGGCAAAGGACCTACTGTGGTCTTCCCAATGCCTGTTGTAGCCACCACTCTGTAAAATGTTTTAGAGTAATGTTGAACTTACAACCACAGTACGCACGCGATGACAATGTCGTTTTTTTGAAGAGATTCACTTGCTCCAAGAACATAGGGATGCTCATGACTGGGATAGGTCATAATGCAGACAAATTGGTGAAGGACAAAATATTGCCAATTCACTGTGACCGAGGCAAGCAGAGGGATGAAACAGTGGAAGGTGAGTGTTATTCTTGCAGGCTGGGATTGGGCGAAAGACTTCAAAGAGATGCAGAGGTGGGAGGACGTGGGTGCCAAATATGTGTTCGAACCTGATCGTACCTCCTGGAAGAGGGGAGGGGAATATTGGCGCCGCACATAGTTGTTTTGGGGTCGACCTCGTGCAAATGTCGAGGCTTGGAGATACTTGCTAGGCGCTTAGCCCTGCATTCATGCAGACTATTAATGTTTCAGGTTCAGAGAAACCTATGGATTTACATAAGTTGCAGCATGGCATGTATGATTTGCTATGGGCACACTCACCTATTCCAAGTCACAAGACGTCAATTGCAACCTTCCAAAAAGTTTGCCCCAATGTTGCGAGGATATACAAGAGGAGAGACACACACACAGATGAGGAGTAGGACACATCATGTGAGAAGCGACACACCTGGTAACAATGTGTCGTTCTTCGTGATTTCGCATTTTTGAGTGTGCCGTGCATCAATTCGAAACTCCGCCACAAGTTACAAGCGTGATGATCATTGTGACAACTTGGTCACGACTGCTTTCTCATCACCACCACCGCCATTTGCTTGCCTGTGCCCCACCACCCCCCTCGCTCTCTTCCTGCCCATCTCACACCCTCGCTATGGCTGACAAGGACCAAGAGAACGGTCATGGGCTCTTTCAGGTGGTTCCCACTTTGTTCAGCCCTGGATTTTTGCTAACAACCCACCACCATCACCTCCCACACCCTGTGCCATGGCAAACGTGACCACCGCCCCCAATTCAACCCCCTCTTGCAAACCCAACCCTCGGATTACGACTAATCGCCCATGAAAACGCCCACAAAACCACCCATCTACCAACGGCAACAACCCAGCGCCCAGGATAAACCACCCACGCTGACGGAATCGGCCCATGAAAATGCCTGCACAGACAGAATCCAGCGCTGAGGCCCATCGACGAGGACCCAGTGCCACTTGGCAAACCAACAGAGGATACAGCACCCACCGTGCAGCCAGGTGTGTACGCCACACCTCCCCACTAACCAACCCCGAATGACAGCAAAAATGCCAGCGCCCTTTGCGACGAGGCCACCACTGTGTCCCGCCCGACCATGGCCACCGAGACTACATACTGACACCCAGATGCGCCGATACTAGGCCGTCAACAGTGAGGATTCTTGGTGTGTACATTCCAGGGTCGCGAGGTTGCTCCCTCTCTTAGAATTTATGTATAACTTTGTATAGTAAGTAGTTTAAGGAATAAAACTTATAATCCTAAATTTTACTTGAGCATGGAGAGGCAGATTTTGACTTAACCACAGAATCTTTGGTGTATGATACATAGCTAATTTCCGTCACACATCAAATTTTCATTTTCTGACAATCCAAAAAGGGCGGAATCAATCAAGATAGTGGGTGACTTCCCATAACATAAATCTATATAAACAAATAAATCTGACCCTTATCGGAGTTTGAAATGGGTACCCTGGCTTGTGATTTAATCAAGCAAATAAACCGTAACGCCAACTGATTAGATTTATTCACCTGACATGAATAAACTTACTTCCATCTCATCTGAGCTGTTTTGAGGACACACAGGCCCATGGATGGGTGTATTATAGTTAATGCTCAATCATATCAGCCAGAAAGTAGGACATACAATGAATGAAGCCGAGAAAATGTCAACTTGAGCTGAACATGCTGTGGTTCTGTGAGTTATGTGCTGAGAAGATTGTTTGTGGAAGGAAAAACAGCTTCGGAGAGGAAATGTTGGAACCAGAGGACGTTGGCACTACTAATAAACTCTGTAATGGCTTCAAATTATAACGAGAGAGCAGACTGCCCTCAGCCGTAGGAGTAGAGAGGATGAGGTAGAGCTGACTAAGCTAGGTGGGAAGAAAATGTACCCAGGAAGGAAAGGTGTCATGATGGCAGGGTTGATTCCAGTGTTTGAAATCTATTCGAGGGGTCTGTACCCTCTGAATAGATTAAGGTTTATAACTGGGTGCCAACCAGGGCCTCCATCAAAGTCGAACCCTTACAAGACTCGGCATCCCGGCAAAAGACCCTAGATCTCGTCGATTTATTTAAATCTGGCGAATTTATGTTACGGGAAGTCACCCAGTATGATCATGCGGATAAGATTCGACACACCTTCCTGAGCAAGTGACCGACATTTGCCATCAAATGTGTTGAACATTGGACAGGTGTGTCGTTCTCCATCACGTGTGTCGTGTCTCATTTCTGTGTGTGTGTCGAGAATGTTGCCCCGTGTCATCGGTCTCGTGATGCCGTAGCTTCATTATTATGTAACATTTGAACTGGGCCGGGACCGTCACAAAAGTACTCAAGGTCTATACAAGGTCTATATCAACCCACTCCTCCTCAGTTAATCGATGTGTCCATATCTGACCTGAATGACTTGTTCATATCTTTTTCTTGCCAAGGTCAGCCTTGTATCTATGGAAATGCGAAGGCTTATAATTTTCGAGTAGGTTCATACTTTGAGCAAACTTTGAGTCTCAACGCAGAATACATGTCAACATCATCGTCTCTCTGATTGTGCCAGCTTCTAGTGGCACCAAACTCTCAGAGCGCGCCAGTGACAGCACTCGTTCAGCCCCATCGATTTGGTACAATGGTAGAATTCACGAATCTGAAGATCTCCATGGTCAACTGATGATTAGGATCTTCGTGAGTTTGTTAAAGCTTTCTTTACCTGCGGCAATACCACTGAGTCGATCAAGTGATATAGTCTCCAACAATGTGACCTCAATTATTAGAGCTTCCACGTTGTGATCGACGTTCGCATGCAAAACACGTCTGAAGTGCCCAGGAAACTTAGACTAGGTCTACCGATATGAGCGTGTTCCCCTTTTCGGCACGAGGCTTTGTGGATGCGGAGTAGGGAGGGGGTTAGGTACATTTAGCATCAATAGCGGAGTCTAGGACATGAGGATGTCCTGTCAAGGTGGCTATGTTAAACAGCACGACCATCTACCCTGCCGAACATGAGGCGAACTGCTGCCTTTCCTCAGATGCCAGTTTCGTTGCAAGTTCTCGCTGTTCACATAAATACATCACGCAAAATAGTGAGGCTCCTCTCTCAACACCGTTCCCTCGTTCTCTTACCCATAGATTCCAGAATCATGTCGAAAAACAAACGAACCCCGCCCTGGAAGCCAGAAGCTAACGACATTATCATTCCGTGTGTTACCATCTCCAATCCGCTCGGCTGTAGTCTAATATTGAATATTTCTCAGATTAATGGGCCCAACCGGTGCAGGAAAAAGCACAGTAAGAGCTTCACGCTTCAATAACCTTTTTCTGAAATATTTTCTGGCTCCAGTTCATCAACTTGATCGCAGGCAAGGAAGTAACAACCGTCGGTCACGACCTCAAGTCATGCACGACCCATCTCCTCCCAGTCGTCATCGACTCTTTACCAAGCGATTTCCTGAAGGGCAGAAGATTAGTTCTCGTGGACACCCCTGGATTTGGCGATACTTACGTCGATGATGCTGATGTCTTGCGCAGCATCGGTTCCTGGCTTGAAACTATGTACGAGTCACAGCATTCGAAGCTGGCTGGTATTGTTTACCTTCATGACATCTCATTGGCACGCATGCTGGGATCAACTCTGAAAAACCTTGACGTCTTTCAGAAATTGTGCGGAAAAGGCGCTCTGAAGCGTGTGGTTCTCTGCACGACAAAGTGGTCGGATATCTACCCGGAGGAAGGAGCGATGCGGACTAAGCAGCTCGAAGATAATTACTGGAAGGAGATGATTGAGGGCGGATCGACCGTTCATAAATTCGAGGATTCTCAGCAATCTGCCTGGGATGTGATTACGTCGATCATGGAGGAAGATCGACATGAAAAAATGGATGCTCTTCAAATACAAGAGGAGCTGGTAGAACTCCACAAACTTATTCCTAACACCGCGGCGGGTCAACAGCTGCGGTATAGTCTCGACCAGTTGTTAAAAAGCTTAAAACAAGCTTCTAGCAAGGATCCCTCTCGGCGCAAGGAACTTGATGCTCAAATCGCTGCCATCCGCGATCAATTGAGGGTGATGAGTGTCCCTGTTACCCAACGCATCTGGGGATTGCTCAAATTTCAAGTCGACAAGATTCTCGACAAATCCATGCTCTTGAATGCCACTACGCCGGCACCCTCTACCGGTAACAAGCTCCTTGGTAAGTTTTTGACGTGTTTGCTGATGAATCATGAGTACTCACCTATTCAAGGCCCCGCCGTGGGCGCAAGACTAGAAGCAGATGTCAAGAAGCTGATCATGTGCGTTCTCCGTTCAACTCCTTGTATTGTGTTACTTGACGACTGAACGCGACCATCAGATTACTTGGCGAAACGGAGACATGCGAGAGAGTAAGTCGCCTGCCTGAATCTTATGGAAGCAGATGATGATACGACTTCTAGCTGCTCAAGCTCTCTGCTGCTGAAATAACTAATTTTGGTGGTGATGAACAGGCTACGACTGAAGTACGCTGTTGGTCTGTGAAAAAGGGGGGCTCGAGGCCTCTGTTTGTCGTCGCAGCTCCAAGCTTTCGTCTTCACCAAAGCGGCGACCCCACTATCTTTGAGAAGGTTCGGACCTGGTTGAGGAGCTCGTGAGTTTTCACCTGCTTCCTCACAACCACTCTCTGAAGTCATTCAGATGCCGCGAAGACATGCAATTTGGCATCATTTTCCTACATGATTCGGTTTATCCACCACCCTCTGAAGTCCCCCATGCAGGGTGCGCGTTGGAGTGCGTTAAACAATCCGGATTGCAATCCAACATCCTCTTTGCAACCTTCGCCAGCCAAGCCACGGGTGCAGTCAAGTACGGCTTTGACAGCAATGTTGCTTCCTTTCAAGGAACCAGCGGACACACTACTCAGGAGATGTTCGACACTGCCCTTGGCATGCCTGTTGAACTTAGCCTTCTTCTGGAAGAACTGCAGACCATCTCGGTAGGGGCCACCAACAGGGAACGGAAGCCGTTGAAAAGTCAGTTGGCTCGTAGTATAATACGCCTATTCGAGGTGCCCTCTGCAACAGATAAGTCACAGTCTGGCGACACGGCCTCGAAGATTGGGAGTAAAACATTACCCGAAACTCCCTCTCAAAGTGTTGGAGCTCCCAGTCCCGAGCCCTCTCAGCATAACTTGAGAACCTCATGTGACGAGGCATCCCTTGTTTCGACGTCAGATGTAAGGCCAGCCTCACCTCCACATGGCGAGAAATCTCCTCCACAGCGCACGCTTTCTCCCAAACCCAGGCCTTCTTCGTCGTCTTGCAAGGAAGTTCACGAGAAGCAAAAAGAGCCATCAATCCGTCATTACAATCTGAGCGTAAGTGCTTTTCTACTCGGTTACGCAATGCCAATACCCCCCCCCCCCCCGCAGATCCGTCTACCTTTTGGTAGGAGGAAGAAACGCCAAGAGTCGTTGCCCCCTCCTGTGTCGTCGCATCTCACGCCTATGGACGACGACGTCGAGCCTGTGAAGAATTGACTGCGATGGGTTCGAAGTCAAGCTGTCGTCGCTTTGGAGAAATACGGCTATGATGTGCAAAAGGCACTCAACGGCGTCCTTGGACAATAAATTGACTCGTCGTTTTTGTAAAATGATCCTGTTTTGAAACATCGTCGTCCTTTGTAATTTCCTTGCTCTAACCACCAAAATATCATTTTGGATACTTGATTTACTATATATCTCGTTTAGTCATACAGAGCAGTCAAGAATTCTGCTGGAACGACGGGCACATCGATTGCCACAGACGCCTGCCAGTGTTGAAGCCAGTTCCGCCATTCATGATCCTTTTTTGTCTCTGAGCGGCTTGTTCCAGCTGTCGTGGGGTAAGATAATGAGCATGAGGAACGAAGATAAATTTTGACATTGGTGGAGCTCCAAAATAATCTTCCCCAAGAACTGGGACACATCTACAAGGCCATCGGGGCGCGCCAATCGGAGGTGGTAGACTCAGCTGCATTTAGAAAGACTGATGAACAACTAATAATGCTTGGCAGTCTCCACCGATGGTTATCATATGAATAATCAGCGTTTACAGTGCCAGCCAACTATACTGCTTCACGTTTGCGACTTGTCGCCTTTCCCGCATGATCCGGGACCACATAGCGACTTGAAAGGGTTTGTGGACACCCGGGGAGAAGAGCCTGCTGTCGAGAACACCAACTCAATCGCATGGGTGGGCGGGCATCTCCTGAACACAGGACATGAGAACTCTCCAATGAGTAAAAATACTATTTTGAACCTTACCAGAACCACTTCGCATCCTGTTGCCTTAGCTCAAAATCCCCCCATCTCCCCGCCCCCTAGTAGTTGACATCCGAAATAGCGATCGAGCGTACCACGACTCCCCGAGGCAGCGAACGTTTGCATTTTGGTCACGACCCGTGTGGGATTCTGTGGCAGTGAGAAGCTTGAACTACGGATGGCTTGGTGACCTCGTTCCGCCGTCAGCTTTTCGCGAGCGGGGGCATCCCAGTCATGACATATCCACGTACGCCCTTCATTGGAGATGAATCGGAAGCCACAGCTGCACAATGATAGATCATTTACGATCGCAGTTGCCTGGATAGATGATCCCTGGGCCGAAGACCGGCTCCTGGCTTGAGCTGGGAAAAAGGTCATGGTGAGTGCTTATGGCCACCACTAGTCATCAAATACAAAAGTTTATTTACCTCCTGAGGGTAGCCAACTGACTTCCTCTTTCTGGCCGCACTTTCGTCGTGCTTCATTAAACGCAAGACAACGTCTAGAGAAAGGGAGGTTTTGACGAAAGACTTGTAGCGATTTCCGCATGCACCAACAAGAATATGGGATTAATGAGGCTTTTCATCGGGCAGCCAGAGTCATCGCATAGACCATTGAACGGCAGCCAATGGATGAAAGTGGGTTTCGTTTCGCATGGCGTAGAATCTCCCCGAAACCGTTAACAGGTTAGTGGTGAGACCTGAGAAGTGGAGGAGTGAACGTACAGATAACGCGGAGGGAGTTCAGGCTGGGCGAACTTCGAAAGTTTGACCGCTGAGCGTTTGCACTTTATGCCGGATAATCCTCCATAGAGTGTGCCTAACGCAGCGTGTGGCCAACGACGGCTCAGTAGGACGTCTGGATATACAAAGAATCTTTCACATTCTGGACCACGAAGGTAAGACACAACTACACACTTTCCTGAAACAACCACTCCCTAGTCTTGGGCACTGCGCCCTGTCGTGCTGAACTTTCGATAGGCCAGCTGCGTGAGCCTCCCACGTTGTTAGAAAGCCAGGATGAGGAACCAACTTGCTCGTCGTCGCAGCAGAGACATTCCAGGTCCTAGGTTGAGAAAGATATCAACCACTGAATACACGGAAGCACAACGTGGTCGGCTAAGGGACTCTTTAGTTGTAGGAGTAGTCGTGGCTCGGAAGAAGATCGTGTTTTGACTTGTGAGTCCACAGTTTGTTCTTGCCCTCATCATCGGGAACGACGACAAATCTAAACGCAATCTTGAAGTTCTACGTACAATGTTTAAGTGAAAAGGTAAGCTTTGTCCATATGCGCGTAGATAACCCCGACTCACCAGCTCTGTCATTTAGATATGCTTCACGTCCATGGGCTCAAGGCCTACCCCGTAGAGCTACCCGTGGACGCCTTGCGGCCTTTATAGGGTGCGTCGCTGCCTTACAATCAGCAAAGGTGATGGCAATTAACCTGAGCTCAGGGATCGGTAGCTTGCGCAAGATTAAAGCGCAAGATCAACAATGTATCGACACCTCGGCGGGGACGAACGGATTCAAGAGGAAAAAGACATATACGAGGATCTGGGAGTGACAGCCTGACAAAATTCGCGAACATGAGGGGGGAGTACAGGTTTGAGGACGAAAGGCAGACGTGCAGCTCCCTGAGAGTGAGAGGAGGGCCACTTGATCCTGGTGAAATCGTGTTACAGCACGTTGACTTGCCAAAACTGACATACTATCCATTTCAGAATCGCTCAACCCAATTAGACCCTAGCTATGGCTGCGAGACCTTGGATTTTCTTTTGGTGACGCCATGACCCATGAGTAACTTGAGGGCATTACTGGGCACGTTTACAGATGGAATTCGAATGAAAGGAAGTAACGTATAGCGTACAAGCAGGATATCTGCCAGCTACGCAATCCACTAACTTCACCCGTATCGAACCCGAGTTTGTCTGCGAGGTTGAATACAGCAAACTGAAGAAATCCAGTATCGAGTCAAGGTAAACCACAACTTGTATTTTTCAACAACCTAATCGAACTAACAGATCTTTTCCATAGGACTCTATGAAATCACTCCCTCGACCCCATGAACAACCCTACAGGTCGATGCCCAGGCCCCTTCTGCCCTTCTCCAATCGATGTCGACTGGTCGACCCACAAATGTCAAACCGCTTGACTTCTCCTTCCTGCACGACATAAATCGCCGGCACTTTGTGTGAAGACTTTTTCCGGTTGTCCATGGACGCTGCTTTGAGTCGGCAAAAACTTACTGTCCCACTGAACGTTGCTTGCTTCAAGATGCACATTTGATCGTTGCTGCTGGAGCCCAAAGCTATCACACCATTCTGTTTCGCACAGGGAGCCTTCCGCACCGAAGGTACGTGTAGGTGACTCGTTCACCGAGTCTCGTTGCTGACTCGCTCTAGGTTAACATTCCCATCATCGATTGAACCTTCCTAAAATCCGCCATCTGCAGAAGTCAATGAGAACCAATCCGACCCCATTCCTATGAGCGGATTCCTGAAAAAGTCAAGTTCTCGCCCTTGGTTTCTTGACTCGGATGCGACAACCACCATACAAACCAATTGCTAGCTCACCAGTCGGTCGGTGCGCAACCTTTCACAGATTGTCGGAAGGCGATGTGGAGGTGTTCCCGGCGCTTCCAGCGTTCGCAACTACCGTCTGGCTACAATCTGGCTAGGTCGTCCACAAGAAAACCATCTTTTTCCAGGATTCGGCAAGAGGCAACTCATTATCATGGCCTTTGGACGGCGGACCTGCAGGAGACAGGTAAGTGAGTTGTTCCAGTATCACAACAGTGGCTAAGTACGTCGTTCAGGACCACACTGTTCCTTTGGTTCTGTTTGGCAGGAGCTTCGGAGTAGTTGCAGAGCACCATCTTCATCGATCCACTTCCGAGCGTGTTTCCGCGTTAGGTCCCTCTCATTGTGTCACTCTCCACCGGGAATAGTTACTTTACTAGGAGCATTGTCTCTTTGAACCATGGGATGATTATGAGATCTCGAAAGCTCTGAGGATTAGCTTAAGAGAACGCAATTGAGGGCTACGGGATATACTGATTATGAACTTGGTAAACTGGCAAGTTCCGGGAAGCGGCTGGTATGCACGCGAAGAAAAAAGGACGTAAGAATGGAGATCTTTCTAAGTAGATCTGTAAGCCATAGCCATCGCAGCTCTGCCGCGAAATTAGGCCTAGCACAGGTTAATGGTCAGTCAAGGCGAGCCGTGATAAAATAAAAAAACGACTCACCAGTCCAAAAAATGTCAAGGAACGGGGTGAGAGGGGAATGTTCAAGCTTCGGAGCCGCTCACTGACTATTGCAATTTTACTGGCGAGAGCTGCGACCTCTTCTTGAGATATCACTTCGCCAGCCAGTCGGACTTCCTTCTGATACGCTATAATTTCATCTAATCCATTCTTGAGTTCCCGCCCGGCTTTAGTTGCAGTGGGGACAATTTTTCGAATCTCGACAAGCTCTTCTTGAATCAGTAAGGCGCGCTGCTCTTCCTTGACTCTCTCAAGAACTCTGGAAACCAAATCCTTAGCTGACTCGTGCGTGTGGGTGAGCCGGAAAAACGTCGCTCCCTGCTCCTTGAAGTCTTTCCGGTACACCTCACTGTAATGTTCCTGCTCGCGTCTGGCGAATGCCTGAGGAGTAAGACTGCCAGGTGTTGCAGTCGCAAAAACGACAGCTCTAAGATTCTTCTTTCCGCAAAGTTTCTTGTAAGCTTGGAGATTTTGGGAGGTTATGCTCCGCACGCCGGCGTCGGTCATATCGTGAAGATGGATGAGGCCTCCACATGTCTTCCCTCCGCCATAGCTTGGTAGAAATTAGGTATGTCAGAGCAGTGAGGCAAAGGTACGACAAACTCACGAAGATGTCAAGCATAATGCGATACGCTGCAGCAACCTGAAATCATGTCCACAAGTACTGTCAAACCCGGGCGTGTCAACGAGGACAAGTCGTCTGCCCAACCCAAAATCTTCCGACGGTTCGAGTGGGGTGTAAAAAGCCTTGAGGATCGTAGTACACGATTCATACCCGTCGCTAACTTCTGCCTTATCATCTTTCAGGTAATCGTTGATAAACTGTTTATGACAACTATAAGCGACCTGTGGCGAGGAATGTAAACTAACAGTGAACACCCACTGTGCTCTTTCCGACACCGGTAAGGCCCATGACGCTATTGAAGCGTCAGCATAACTTGATAAATCGGAGGAGAAGAATACCTACGGAATGATGATATCCCCATCATGGGTATCTGGAAACAACGCTTCTTGAGGTTCAGCGCTCTTTTCCCGCCGCCACACGCGATTCCTTAAGTTCTGGAATAAACTGTCGAAGTGATGAGAAATATTCAACGACACATATTGAGGGTTTAGCGATCCTTTACCTCCAGACTCGATTTCTCATATTGCAGCAGAAGGCTAAGATGATGACGAGAGGGAGTTCGAACTTGTCTTTCTGACGAAGGTTGGATTGGCGAGGAAGGTCCGGCTGTGGTATTTCGGTGATTATGTGTCGGAGTCAATCCCATCCCTGCCCCGATCCATGATCATGAGCCAGCATATGTCTTGAGTCCCGAAATGAGAGGCAAGACCAAACTCCAGCAACGTTGAATTCCTGTAAAGGCGATATGAAACGTCACGTACTTCCACAGGAGAAGGTCTTTATGCAGGATGGAATCAATTTACAAGTTTCGGTCATGCTTGAGATCGACAAGATCATGAGGGTTGATCAAGACACCTGTTAAACGAGACTGTGAAGGGTGTTCATTTCCAAATTAAGAAAAACGCCGCTAGGAGAATGCCAAGCTCACTGGTACCAACTCAGAACTGTGCGAAGTCGGAGTTACAAGCGAGCTTTTCTGTTGAATCATGCTGAAGCACTGTACATCCGAGTCGTCGTGACGGTCGGCGGCTGCGTGATAATAGGTAGTAAAATATTATGGCCATAACTTTTCACAGATTCTAGGTCGACGGAGGGCAAAGTTCCAATGCATCGTTGCCCCGTGGGTTTCATCCACTACAAGAATGGGATAGGACGTTTTGAGACTTATTGAGATCGTAGGCGATAACTTCTTGATGGACATGATGGATGGATATTCCGATTCCGGCCCGGGAGCGGTCCTAGTGAGGAACCGGTTTCCTGCTACTACTTAGTTATGGTCCTATGGAGCACCAGACTGGCAGAGCCCTCAAACCTCCCTGGAGGGGCCACAAGCAGGTCCTTGACACCTGGTCCAGTATGAAAATAACACCTAACCTAAGCAGATAACACAAACAAGTCTTCGGGCCCCGGGCCACGTCAAGGGCACGTTGCTACAATGCATGCCTTGCCCACGCGCAATATGCTAGTGGATATACTTGATGAAGTTCTTCTTTAAAGGGACCTACGACAATCGCAAAAGCATCCACTGAAAACTGCCACTCATCAACTGCTACGGCCGACCATAGAGCTTGCCCAATGGCAAAGTGGAAGAAACAGGTCAAACGGAGCGATGTTCTGATGAAAGAAGGGACGAAGAATGACATCGTTGTACCGTGCGTCGTTATTGACCTTTTCTTTTGAGAAGCACGCTCTCATTTTTCATTTTTTTGGATTTTTAGTGTTATGGGTGCTACAGGTGTTGGGAAAAGCACTGTGCGTACTTCCAACCGATTCTGTAGACCGTGTCCTATGCTGATTGGAATGATTCATTGCACCTGCACTAGTTCATCAACAACTTTATGGGCACTGAGGACGCCGTCATCGTCGGTCATGACCTCAAGTCATGCACTGCGCAATTAACACCCGTGTTCTCGCGCATTACTCAGCCAGCACACCTCCAAGGAAAACGTTTGGTCCTTGTTGATACGCCAGGTTTTGACGATACTTATACGTCTGACTCGGAAATTTTAAGGCGCATTGCGATCTGGTTGGCGTCGTCGTACGTTGACCACTGCGTTATTTCTTGTTTCGCGCGACTAATATCTGCACGCAAAGGTACGACTCTAAAATGAAGCTCGGTGGCATCATTTACCTCCACAACATATCTCAACCACGTATGCTGGGCTCGGATCGTCAGAATCTTGAGGTATTCCAGGACCTTTGCGGCCACAAAGTCTTGTCGTCTGTCATCATCGGGATCACCAAGTCAGGCGACATTCCCCAAGAAGTGAGCGAAAAGCGTTGCAATGAACTTTCTTCAACATACTGGAAAGAAATGATAGAAGCTGGGGCGACAGTATACCCGCTGGAAAACAATACCACCTCTGCTCAGAGTCTGTTGGCCATTATTCTACAAAATATCAAATTATCTACAGGTCCTTCCGAGCCCAGGACCAAAGCTGTCGAGATCGAAAACCAGGTCGTCGAGATCCAGAGCGAGGTCGTCGACCTAGCGAAGCTCGTTCCGGAGACGAAGGCAGGAAAACGGCTGAAGGCTACGTTGAAAGAGGTTTTAGAGATGCAGAAGAAAATGGCCCTCCAGGCTGAAAATGATACGGAGAGACAGAAGGAGTACAGGGATAATGTTAACAAGCTCGATGCTCAAATCAGTGCTCTGAAAGTTCCATTTGCTCGCCGCATTCTCGCCGCCCTCGGACTGGTGAGAACGCTGTTACTCAAGAAATCACTGCTGATTTCCCTGTAGGCATGAAACCCTCTAATCTTTCAACAAGATCGTACTTATTCCGTAGTTGCACTCAATTATTATTTAGTTGGCATGCCACTTTCCTTCCATATTTATGCATACTAGATTCCGTTGATTATGCAGGGACGAATTAACTTCAGTTCCCCAAAATCGGAAGTCACGCCACAGCCAATCTCAGGAACACAACTTACCCCGTACAACGCCTCCGCCCGGGCCTGCTGGTCGATGACCGTGCGACTAGCGACGGCTAGAAGCACCAGAACATCTCCACATCGCCTTGTATCAATCTATGAAAGGTTGGTCACCGACCGACTCGTCAGCCAACAATTGGTTTATGTGGAAATCAGGACGAGAACTTCACTTGTCAAAAGTCTACTCCTAGCAATGGGGTCGGATTGATTGTCATTGACGTCTGAAGGTGACGGATTTAGAAAAATTCAATCGATCATGAGCCTATAGCAAGTCAGCAACGAAACAAATGGAGGACGAGCGAAAGAGGACGCTGCATCCGAAGAGTGGCTCCCTGGAAAAAGAGTTGGTCAGCCACAACGCCTATATCACGACTACATTTAACTGGTGGGCGATAATTGGAGGTATAGAAATCAAAATTGACTTACGAAGCACGGATAATTCAATAGGTACCATGGTGACACCTGCATTCTTCTGATGGCCGACATAATCAAACTCAGGAGTTGTTAGGACTGAGAGGCGGGTCTGAAGGTCAATGAAACACGAACAAGAAAGGGAACACCGAAAGAGACGACCCGCCTGCAACAATCCCAAAATTCGCCAGCGTAATTCGAAACAAAGTGACTTGCGCACAATGTGCCACGTGCGTGGTATGTGCAAGACTGAAGAACAGAGAGGGGTAGCCCCGCCATCTTGAGGAGAGGAGAAAGAGGACTTGCAGAAGGTGAAGTTGCGGAGGGTGTAAAGGGACAAAAATTGTCTTAAGGTGGGGGTCGAAGGCTCTTCGCACAGGCGGTCTGTAGTGATCCACGACTCCTAAAATTACGACCAAGATAACGTGGCTGAACGAGAACCTGATCAACGTCAGGGCAACATGAACCTGGAGATATGAGAGGAACACGCACGATGAATAAGTAACATAGTTGAAAGTGCAAAAACGACGACGGTCAAGGCAAGAGAAACGTCCAATTGTTTCCTCGTACTCCGCCTCTATAACAAATCCGTTTGGGAGAGCACCGGCCCCACCATTTTCCGCCCCCTTTTATTGCTGTTGCCGCGGATCTATACGGTGTTCCTCATCAGAGGCGGCAGTGAAATACACGTCAGTTGACGACTTCCTCTTCAACACCTTCCTCTCCTCCAATTTCCCACGCGAGGGGTGGCTGCCGCTTGATCAGTGGCCTGTGAGTAAATTTGCCTCTACGCAAATTTCGCAGCCTGTGTGAGGTGTCATGGGCAATGAAACGTAGGCAGAGAGTTGAGCGTCTGGGTCAATACCTGCGGTGTAGAAGAAGAGAGTGCGTGTACTGGGGAATGGACGTGTAGGTTGTGGTTGTGGTGGTTTCAAGGAGAGCGCCTCGAATGCTGTGGAATGAGTGCTTCTGGTAAATTGGAGAACGACGCCGGTGTCAGTAAGTATTGGCATTGAAGAACCGCATCTTCACCGTGACTTGCGAACGCGTCCTCTTCCTCATAGTTCTCCGGTATCCGGCGGTGTGCATAATTACGGGACGAGCGGTCATGCCAACCTCAGCTCTAGCCTGGGCAAAACGCGTTCCAAACTTCAAAGACGTTCTTCCTGTCATTGAGTTTGAGCATCCGATTGTTGAAATACGGGTGCCTTGTACTAACATATGTTCACTATCAACCAACGTGCGTGTGCTCATCTTGCGCGGAGGGATCGAGTAGAAACGGTGAGGTTGGAGAAGAAGAGAATCGTATGTGCTTATGTAAGCTGTTGCAGTTCCAACCGGCGACCAGAAGGGCGACTGGTACTTGAGTGGGGTACCGTAGATCATCATTATCTTTCGTGAGTAACAGGGTTGATGAATTTGTACTTTGCACAGAGTCGGGGACTAGCGCTCACGCCGTAGTAAGTGATATTGTCAATTTGTAGTAACGTTACAAAACGTATAGCGTTATGATGCGACTCCCTCACTGTTGTGCGTGGTGAGTAGAAAACATTAGTCCAGTATGGCTATGATTCACCTAGCTGCCTCACTGGCAGACGATTCATCCCAGTCATTTGTTCTTCGACCGGGAAACCAGCACTGCCTCCTTACGATGAAGGTTCTTTTGTGAGAGCCCACTCACAATCCTGTCAACGCCAGTGTCGAAGAATCGTAAGACGCGTTGCGAGAGTGGAATATGCAACGCCTTGATTTGTGCACGAATACCGGCGATTTGGGCTGGATTGAGCATTTCAATAGAAAGGGAATCTGTCGAGTGTTTACTCTTTAGAGTTTTGAGCAATTGGTCAAGACTATGACGCAGTTGTTGGCCCGCCTCTGTGTCAGGAAGAAGCTTCTTCGCACCAACCAGTTCTTCCTGAATCTGAAGGACTTCCGTTCGATGTAGGTGGTCTCTATCATCAAGTATCGCCTTGACCATCATCCAGGCCGAGTCTTGGCTGCCTGTGAATCTACAAACTTTTGCTCCGTCCTGAATAAGCTTGCTCCAATAGTGGTTGGTGAGGCTGTCAAGTTTACGCTCCCGTTCAACACGCCTGGCGTCATCACTGGCCCCCCACATTGTGGTGCCAAGGATGAGCATCCTAGGTTCGATAAACAGTTCACAAATCTTATCAAGATAATTGTGAAAGTCGTGGTGTGGTCGGCGGTTAACATCATGAGGGTGGATGATTCCGCCGATCTTTATGTCTGGTCCATACCTAACATCTTATGAGCGTTGCACCTGTCAGGTTCTGGAAACCAACGCACCTGGCTGCCAAATTCTCAACGATTTTTTGCAATGTTGCAGAATCATCACCGAACGTAGAGTCAAAGCCAGGCGTGTCTACGACGATCACTCTTCTCCCGTGATACGAAGCTCTTCGACTGTTCACCAGGATTGGATCAATGATCACGGGCTGGACTTTATCGGTGCATGGCTGGAGATCATCTCCGACGACTACTTCGTGCTTTCCGGCGAGGGTATTAACAAACTAGAGTAATCAGCGGGGAAACAGAGGAAAGGATCTACGGTAACTACCAGGCTTTTCCCGACCCCAGTCACACCGATTACACTAAAAAAATCTGATCAGCGACGTCACTTTTGCACAAAGGTCAAGTTACATACGGGATAACCACATCATATGCAAGAACTGAGTCCACCATATCCCACGCAGATTGCTGTGTGTCGCCGAAGTTGTGGACGATTGATCCACATTCGATCATTTCCAGCCAGTATTTGTCACAAAGTTCTTTTACCCGTTGTTCTCCGACGGAAGAGGACGCCAGTTCGGCCCACTTTGTCGTACCAAGGACAACGCTACGCAAAGCCCGATCCCCACAAAGTTTCTTGAACACCTCAAGGTTCCTCAGAGTAGTACCCTTCATTCGAGGCAAGGAAATGTCGTAAAGGTAGATAAGACCACCAAGTTTCGTATCGGTGCTGTAGCTTCTATGGGTTAAGAATCATTGCGACAACTTCAAAATCATTCACTCACACATGTGCAAGCCAAGAAGCAATGCGGTTCAAGATTTCTGATTCCGCCGCGAAAGTGTCATCAAATCCAGGAGTATCGACAAGCACCAGTCTTCTGTCTCGAAACAGAATTGAAGGCGGCGGGTTCACAACAATCGGCTGGAGTTGTGTGGTGCAACTTCGCAAATCATGACCAACTTGGACAACATCTTCACCTGCAAGGTAGTTGATGAACTAGAAAGGTCATCAAACGCAAAAAGAGAATTAACAGTTTGGAACCCTACAGTACTTTTTCCAACGCCAGACGGCCCCATTACACTGCAAATTAGAAGGGAGAAATGAAGACCATTCTCGCAACGATGCCAGCACAACTTACAGAATGATTATGTCGTTCAGCATTGGTTTATATTCCATTGGCTTGGGCTTGGGACCACTGTCCTTTCTGGCCTTAATTTTCATCCTACTCGTCTGCAAGAGCATCTGGTCAGCGTCTCAATTGAGAGGAGAAGTTGGGGGAGAAAAACGTTTTCTATACGCAGGGGGAGGGCGGCAGGGTGGAGGCGATTGCGGGTCGTGACCGGCTGACGACTCCGACTCTTGCGAGATCTCGTAGATTACCGATCGCGTGCTTGAGGTGGGGCGATTGCACGTTGCCTTCAAACTTGGACCTCATGAGATGGGCGTGGGTATGAAAGTTGCACGAGTTTTTTCTTCTTATCGGTGTCACTTGGAAGCTTGCATATGGTGAGGGCTGATGAGGGATGGGGAATGGCAGTGATATGATGGAGGAGTGATATGTTCCAATTAATTGCTTTACAGTCCAATCAAACCTATGGGAGACGAGTGACTCCACTCATGCACCGTGGCTTCGGAAGGGGTGTCGCGCAGCGTTGATCCAGATTCGCACCGAGTCTTTCCAATCTTGACAGATCGAGGCGAGGTGGGCGTTTCCGGTCAAGGTATGGAGATTGGGATGGACAACTGATGCCCCCGCTGGCCGTGTGTGGGGACTTCTTGGTGAGATTACTTGATGAATCGCTGCCAGAAATAGATGATGGGAATGTTCAGGCGAGTCTCGAGCTGCCATCATTGTTGTCGTCGTCATTTGTGAGAATCTTGGGCAGGGGGATAGATGCTAAATGAAGATTATATGGTTGTTAGAGGGGGGGAAACGTGCCAGGAACACTCATGAGCCTCTCGTTGACAGAGACCTCCCAGAAATTCCAAATCGAGAGTCGGCGCCTCCACACTTCCTTCCACCTATCCTGTTGCCAATGCGAAATTCGAAAATGTCCGTTCTGTTTTTTGACCAAACTGTAGCTTATTGTGTAGATCGTCATCACGACTGACATGTTGAAACTTGACTGGCCAATCCCCATCTCCCTAGAGCCATGATAAGTCTAGTAACCCGGATATTGAGCAAAGTTTCCATGCCTTCTGGTAGTCCAGCCGAAGTAACGAGAAGTGGATTCAAGTTATGATGCAGTCCCAAATCATATTGAAATTGTCAAACTGTGAAGATGAACGCCATCCCGGTAGATATATCCAAGTCGAACTAGAAGGAATGAAGTTAGTAGGGCAAAAAAAAACTTGTAATGTGCGGCATTCGCACCTTGCCAGATTTCTCCTCACCCAGTCACTGTGGGGAGGCGCCTGGCTGATCCTAAGACCCAGCCTGGGCCCAGCTGAGGCCTGAGGCCTGAGGGGAGGGCGTGCCGCGTTGGTGGAAGGGCGTCCAGCTTCAACTTCGCCACGGTCGTCACACTTCATTCAACAATGTGACGAAAAGGTCACGAGCTAACTTCTGCTAACTTGGTCTCAACCAAATGCATGGGGATCTTCGAAATCTTCCTATTGTTCGAGATGCCACTCTCAGGTTTGTCGAATGCGACCCAGCCTTACAGCCCAAATCAAGTCTCATGTCGTCGAACGGTCATACCCCTCCAGCCGATAGTGGAACTTCCAAGTTTTGTTGATGACCAGGTTGGTAAGGGGTTTTCAATATCGGTTAATCTGTTTACAAAACTGACCGAGTCTCGCATTTTTTGCATCTTCAGCCTTACCGAAATGGTGTCAAGACTAGGTAGTATTCCACAAATATGAGTACATACGAGAAGTGTGCCAAGTACATAAAGGACGAACAGAAAGTAAAACGGAATGATGTTATGAACTCGGTCACGGTCATGACGCACATACTATACCCTACAAATCAAGTACATAGATCATTTTACGGCGACCGCACACCTGTTGCGTCCTCAACCCTGAGACAAAGCAATAAATGGTCATACATTGATAAAGAGATTGCACGACAACTCACCAGCCCAATGAGCTTCAAAAGACGTTGCGAGAACGAAAGTTTCAACTCTTTGATTTGCGGGGCGAGCGCCGCAATTTTTTGTTCGTGCTTTGCGATTTGCTCTGCAGTGAGGTTATCACCAGCAAGGGCTTTCTTCTGGTGCTCCATGATCTCCTCCAAGGTACACTTTAGCTCTTTCCCCGCCTTGGTCTCCGGAAGTATCTTAGCGAGGTCAACTAGTTCGGTTTGAATGAGCAAGACGCGCTCATCCTCCTGTACTCTGTCAAGGACTGTTTGAACTAATTGCTTTGCCGACTCGTGCGAAGGACGGAGGTTGAAAACTATTGCTCCTTTCCTCTTGAAGTCCTTCCAGTACACGTCGGACATCTGCTTCTCACGTCTTCTATATGCTTCAGGGGTAAGTTTACCAGCTTTCGTGGTCCCGAAAACGACGGCTCCAAGGTTTTTCTTCCCACAAAGCTTCTCAAATACTTTGAGATTCTGAAGAGTCGAGCCTCGCATGCGCGCATCGGTGAGATCATGGAGGTAAATGAGACCGCCACATGTCTTCCCTGGACCATAACTTCGTCAAGTTAGACATGATGCAGCAGGTAACAAGGATATGCTGAACTCACGACGATGCCAACCACACTGCAATTCGCCTCAAAATTTCTGAATCCGCTTCATTGGTGTCATCAAACCCTGGTGTGTCGACAAGGACAAGGCGCCTGGGCTTCCCGGACTCATCTGGCGGGAGATCGTTGATAAAAGGCTGGAGTGTCGCAGTGCACGATTTAAGATCGTGACCCACTTGTGCCTTGTCCTGGCCGAAGTAGGAGTTAATGAACTGTAGACATGTATAACTAAATGAGGAGCAAGCGGAAAGATCCAACTATGGGAACAAACCGAGCTCTTTCCAACGCCTGTAGGGCCGAACACGCTATGGAAGCGGTCAGCGCGATTGATTGAATATAGAAGGGAATGATACGTACGGGACAATAATGTCGCCTTCTATTACATCGGCGAAATGGACGTCTCCCACTTTACTCACTTTGGTTTTCCAAAGATCAAATTTCCTCATATTCAAATGAAATTTTTGTAGAGGACCTAGAGTTGGAGGGACGTTCGATTTCGAGTAGTGATGGTATAGGCCTTCAGCAGGAGGGTTGGACTTCTATGTACTGGACGTGTATTCCTCGTGCCCCAGTCTATATGTAGGCGTGGCGTGAGCGTGGCCGATCAGGGAAAGATCTGAAACTGTAGGAATGGGAATGTAATTTGAAGGGGAACGGCTCGATAGGATGAGCTGAAATTTGGTCAGGAAGCTCCTAAACTAAGCTTCCATCGATTCCGATAATCTCCGGAAACATCCCTGTAAAGTCGATTTAAATCTTTGAATTGAAGCGGATTCGTTAAAGCACTCAAGGGGTACGGGTGTGAAGAAGGTGCATGCGAGATCTTCAATATGGAGTGAAGGTGAGAAAGCTGGAAGAAAATCAACAGATCCACTCACATGTACACAAAATTCGCAACAGAAGATGCAAGTGATAAAGACAGAGAACTTGCCGTAGGCACGGCATAGGCAGAGTGTTTTCCCCAGACAATGAGGACGTGCAAAGCGAGACGAACGTGGGCGAAGCGATGCCCATGTCAATGGCGGAGACTGAGATCCAGAGAACGAGGGGACGGCGGCGGGACGCGTCTTCTTTGGGCGCACAAGGCTAGGTATGTTGATTTGAAGATGTGATAAGACTGATAAGATGTGATGACCAAAGGAAACTTCAAAACCTTCAAAGCTTACTCCCACAGTCCCTTTTTGGGCCGAATCCTCTTACTGAATTCCTCGACATGTGCCACTCCAAGCCAACGTTTCATGCCCAGCTCAAGCCCAGCCCACTTTCGAGCCTCCGGCACACAAGTGGCATGCTCACCTGGCCATATGTTGGGGGTCCACAGTGGTACGCTGCACTCGTATTTTAACTTTCGGATGCTTTAACTCAACCGCAGGGAGAATGTGCTTTGCCCATGACTGATCGTGCGGGTGTGATTATGCACAACGTCGGAAACCAGAGAATTATGAGGAAGAGGACGAGCTCGGAAGTGAAGGTGAAGATGCAGGAGTTCTCAAAGCGAGACCAGTGGGCGTTCGCAATGACGAAGAAGCCGAGAAGCTACGACGCCAGGATCTAGCAATCGCGCAGAGCCTCAGTCTACGCGCAGAAGGGCACGAGAAAGTCGACACGTCCATGCTTGAACAACCCCCTCTGATCCATCCGATTGACGACGACGACATCACTACACCAGCAATTTCACCCAAGCTCAAACCCTCCAGGCATCCCCATACTTTACCGAATGGCGTCCGCATGCGCTTACCCCTCGGCACGATCTTCTTCGGTGTAGAAAGAATGAGTCATCAGGCTGAGAAAGTGGGAGCGCCTTCTCTCCTGTCCTCCGACCCACGGCCCCTTGTCATCTTCAACTCACCACGCCTCTAGCACCTAGCAGCGCGGCGCAACCTCCTAGTCCTAATATGAACGAGACCGCACTACGTCCGTCGCTATTACGGCACCTTCTAGATGGCCTTCTGACTAGAGCCATGTTGGAAGGATGACCGTGAGTCTCTCCTTGGCCCAAACTTTTGTTAGCTCTTACCAGCGCGTAGTACCAAGAAGAATTTTTACTTTTTCTGGGGATGTTGGGATGGGAATGGGTATCGGGCCCTGGTCCATTCGAACCCGACTATTCCCTTCCTGGGGAATGCAAATGTAGGGGCAGGGTGGGGGGAGAGGAAGGAGGTGAAGAGGAAGCCGTCAATTGACGTTTATTCACTGCGCCTCTGGTGAGGGACGCCGTATGGAGCCGCGGCAGCAGCATTTGTGGATCCTCCCAAACAGATGCATTGATGCGGCGGAGCGCTAAGAAATAATCGGTTGTTCCTCTTTACCTTCACCGTCGTCGTTTCTGCACTTTCTGTCACGTTCTCTATTCATTGTGCGTGTTCCTCTCATTTCAGGTTTCATGTTGCCTTAATGGCAAATGCTGATCAGGTTTGCCTACAGCCTTGGTTCTTGGTTGCATTTTTAGGACTCGTGGATCACTTTAAAGCACCTTTATGAATGTACCACCGTCTCTACTCAATCTTGAATCCGTTTGTGGGTAGAGCGAGATCTCCCTTTTAAGCTTGAGATGATCAGTTTGCAATCAGTCTAAGTGAGTGCTGCTCTGGCGTGTGCCCTTCGATTATACATAGACGTAGTTCTTCCTTTCTAAGTTAAAACGAGATAATGGAGTGCGTTCTAAGCCTACGTGAGTCTCTGGTGAGATAGATGCCAACATTGACGCGTGTCCTGTCCTTTGTGAGTAGAGTTCTTGCTTCTGACCTTTGCATGATCGACTGAAATGCGAGTTTCTTAGTCTAGGTGACCGTTGACTATGATGGATCCGGCGTTGTACGTTGATGGTTAGGAGTGTTCGATCAGCGCTCCATATCAAGCAGGCTATGAGTCTCGTACAAAGCGCACACTTCGGAATCAGGTCAACCTCGTTTGAATTCTCGACATCACCTTATACTTGTCGTACAGGTAGTCAAAGTGCCATGGGATCAAGAAGCTGTAGGAGAAAGCGCGTACAAGGCATGAAATATATACTAGGCCTACCATGGAACCGTCATCTTTGCTGATGAGTTTCCTGAATTCCACCGGCTCCTTTTGTAATTGAAGAGCATCCATTTTTTTCATTTTGATGACCCTCGATGATCGGTGCAATCACATCCCAGGCAGACTTCCGAGAATCCTCGAATTTACAAACGGTCGATCCGCCCTCAATCATCTCTTTCCAGTAAATTTTTTTGAGTTGCTCTGTCCGCTTCTCCCCTTCCTCTGGGATGATATCCGACCACTTCGTCGTGCATAGAACCACACGCTTCAGAGCGTCTTCCCCACACAGTTTCCGAAAGACGTCCAGGGTCTTCAGAGCTGATCCCGGCCTGTGTGTCGGTGATATGTCATGGAGGTAAACAATACCAGCGAGCTTCGTCTCCCCTTTACGCCCATGACTGTCACGGGAGTCGTACATGGTTTCAAGCCAGACACCGATGCGGTGCAAGGTATCAGCATCGTCGTAAGCATCGTGAAATCCAGGGGCGTCCACGACAACCAATCTTCCGTAATTCGGAAAAGGCCTTTGTAAAGAACCGATGACAACTGGAAGGAGCTGCATCGTGCATGACTTGAGGTCGCCACTGACAGTTGTTACTTCTTTTCCTGCGACAAAATTGATGAACTGGAGCAGTAAATTCTTATAGAAAAAGTTATTGAAGCATGAAGCTCTTACTGTGCTTTTTCCTGCGCCGATTGGGCCCAGTAATCTAAAAAATATCTGATATTAGATTACAGCCGAGGGGATCGGAGATGGTAACACACGGAATGATAACGTCGTTGGCTTCTGGCTTCCAATCCAACGTTGGCATCGCTTTCGTGTTTCGCGAAAAAAGAGAGAGCAACGCTTTCGGCAAGTTGTATCTGCGATCTACAACGAGTAAGACGTGAGCGAATCATGTTGAGAGGGGAGCCCCACTATTTTGTTTCATGTAGTTAGACGACCTGGAAAGTATGTTTTCTTTTTCCTCGATGATCGGTGCAATCACATCCCAGGCAGACTTCTGAGAATCCTCGAATTCACGAACGGTCGATCCGCCCTCAATCATCTTCTTCCAGTAAGTTTCTTTGAGCTGCTCAGTCCTCTTCTCTCCTTCCTCTGGGATGATATCCGACCACTTCGTCGTGCATAGAACCACACGCTTTAAAGCGTCTTCCCCGCACAGTTTCTGAAAGACATCGAAGTTCCGCAGAGTCGGTCCCAACGTGCGTGTCGATGATATGTCATAGAGGTAAACAATACCAGCGAGCTTCGTCTCCCCTTTCAGCCCATGGCTGTCACGAGAGTCGTACATGGTTTCAAGCCAGGTACCAATGCCGCGCAAGATAACATCGTGATCATCAACGTAGCTATCGCCAAATCCAGGGGCGTCTAGGAGAACCAATCTTCCGTTCGTCAACAAATCGTTTCGTAAAAAATCGATAACGACTGGGAGGAGCTTGACCGTGCATCGTTGGAGGTCGTGACCCACAGTCGTTACCTCTTTTCCTGCGATAAAATTGACGAACTGGACCCGTAAATTCTTAGTGAGAAAGGTCGTTGAAGCATGAGATTCTTACTTTGCTTTTTCCTGCACCGGTTCGGCCCATTAATCTGAACAAATATCCAGCATTAGATTACAGATGAGCGGATTGGAGATGGTAACACACGGAATGATGACGTCGTTAGCTCCTGGCTTCCAATCCAATGTCGACATGACTTTGGGGGCTCGCGAGAGTGGAGTTGGAAGTCGGTCGTTTTTCGACATGATTCTGCAATCCGCAATGAAGAAGAGAACGGGGGATTCGTGTTGAGAGAAGTCACCATCTGGTGTAATGTAGTTAAACAGTGAGGACTTGCAGGGAAACTGACGTCTGCGGAAAGGCGACCGCCTCACATTGTTAGGCAGGGTCGAGCAAAGGGACTCCCAGCGGAAAAGTCCGGAACCACAGATGCCTGATCCTGCCCGATTTTCATCCGGTCCGACGGTCTGCGGAGTCTAAAGCTAAAGTCAGCAAAAAAAGCGAACAAAACACGAGCACAGGTATTGTAAGTACACATATCACCCCAGTTCCCGCAGGAGCGCTCTGCCTCGAGTGCCGAGCTCCTAGTATGATAGATCCTATGTAGATTGCTTTAAAAAATATGCTACTCGTTCTCCTCAAAAAATCACTACATATTTCGGGTGTGTGAAACGTTCGAGAGTCGTTCAAGTCACTGGTCCACCCTCCAGGCCACGCCTCTCGGAGATGGTATCCCCTTCAACGCTGCTCGTTGTTTGTTTGCACGGATCGCCTCCTTGTTCGACATGCCCTTCATTTTCTTAGCAATGTCCTCCCACCACTTCACAAGTACCCCGAACGCTGAAGTTTTGAAAAAACTTTTCTTTTCATCCACAATCTGAATCTGGGCCTTCAAGGCATGCCGACGGGGGGCTGCGATGATCAATTGATCAACAATCTTCCACGCAGTCTCATACGACCAGGGATCGAAGCGCGCGACCTTGCAGCCATGGCTTATCATTTCCGCCCAAAAGTCGCACTTCAGTTGCTCCTCGCGTTGGGAACCGACATCGGGAGTGACTTGGCTCCAGAAAGTGGTCGTAAGGATAACGTTTGCCAACACCTCAGAGCCGCACAGCTCCTCAAACATCTTCAGGTTCCTTAAAGGAGTTCCTCGCATTCTAGCGTCTGCAATACTGTAGAGCTGAATGATGCCGGTCAGCTTGATGCGCCGCCTGTAACTATCAAGAACCATTTGGAAACTGGGCACGGCTGATGCATGCTATAGAAATCACTTACGTCTTCACTAACCAGTCGGTAATGATCTTGAGAACTTCATAATCTGTGCGTCCGGAATCGTTGAAACCAGGAGTATCGATGAGAACGATTTTCCGTTCAGAACCGTCCGGGTGTAAGCAGACGAATGCTTGCACTTCTTGCGTGCAAGATTCAACCGAATCATTGACGTACGCAACAGATTGTCCCATCAATTTGTTGATGAACTAGGAGGTCATCTTCGTGACAGGATTGAAGGGGCTAACGAAGACACTGACCGAACTCTTCCCTGCCCCACTAGGGCCCATCAACCTAGCGGGCACCATCAATCATGGCAATCCATAGAAAAGATTGTACTAACGCAATAATCGTGTCTTGCTCTGTAAGAGCGTAGTCGAACCCTGATGGTACCGTTTCGGAGGAATCATCTGGATCACTGAGGGGCGGCGGCGAGCCTGCACAATCCGATGAAGAGAAGTCCTGTAAATCGAGCTGGACAGGCAGGCAAGCAAGTTGAGGCCGTACCTGTGTGCCATTTGGCTTGCCTTCTCCTAAGCTCGAGGTGCTCTCTGTGACTGGGGCTTTGTTCCTTCGCAAGAGGGTTTATCATGGCGAACGATGATGTTGAAGCTCAATTGCCTATTCAATGTGAGGCGAGCAGAGAGATGAAAAGTGGAAGGTGGTGGGAGGCGAGGTGGGAGGACGTGAGTCCGAAAGTTGTGTTTGAACCAGATCAGATTCTCAGGGTGTTCCTCCTGGAAGAGGCGAGGCGACAATAGGCGCCGCACATACTTGTTTTGGGTCGACCTCGCGCAAATGTCGAGGCGAGATACTGTAGCCCCACATTCATACAGACGCCTTGTTAGATCCTTTCCCAGATCTTCCCCAGTCGATCGGGTATCCATTTTGTCGGACCTAGACGCACAGAGATCTCAGTGTCAGGCAACGAGGGAAATGACAACTGATTGTATCACCTAGGCGCGGAGTGACTATGAGTATATAGGTATCGTGTTGAAGGGGACAGTGAATACACAATCTCAGTGAGGACTCGGAAGCGAGGTAAATGTTTCAGCCATGGTCTGTACGTCCCTGAGCTCATGACAACCTCGTCCAGCCGTCCTTATCTCGCTCGTGACATAAACTCTGAGCGCTGAGCTTGTGACGTCAGACACGTATCGCGCAGTGCAAGTTTTGCGTAGTACCTGTAGGAAATTTTGAGAATGTATGTATCCGACAATAACGATGTTGTCGAAACTCACCATGTGGAGGATGAGCCTCCTTCGCTCGTCCAACCAGCAACCACTCACATGAATGCGTATTCTTCTCTTTGAAGCACGAAAGTAGTTTCAACTTTCCGGCCTTGGCCGCCTTCTTAGTAGGGTCACTCCGAACCACTGTCCAAAGACTGCTTTCTGTTGAGCGAGCCCCAGACATCAGCTGGCCGGACCGCTCATTTTCACAAAGCGGGCATTGACGTAGACGGACTCCACCATGTCGAGACGCAGGGAGTGGGTGGTATTCTCAAGGTATTCTGCTTGAAAGGTAGGAGAACCACAATGCACCGAAGCTGTGGCTGTGCAACCTCGAACGAGGGTATCCCAATCGTATCCTTGAAGCTTCTTGCGACAAAGGGGGTCGAGGAGGACAGATGACACAAGCTGAAGAATGTCGTGCACCCTGTTCCTTCTCGGCCCTCAAACTCAACAGTCACACAGTACAGTTGAGCTGAGGACGGGTCAAGGGACGGGTGATTCACTGATTCGCTTATGCCTTCGGAAGGCATCCCGTGACGTCACGTGCCCTCTGGCAACCTGCCCAGTAATTTTAAATTGTGGTAACATCCTTGTTCCCCGATCTTGTTCCTCCTTCTTCCTGCTTCTCTCTTGAGTATTGCTTTTGCTGCCCCAATTCAATTCCGGATTTCTTCCGCCACAAGGCGCTTCCATTTATGCCAGGCCTCAGCAAGCCTGAATCCCACTCTGGCTTCCACTCCCCAAATCTCACCTTCCGAGGTGATTTCCCAATTGGTCTCAGATGTGGTTTTTCAGCTCGTGTCGGCTTTCAAGAAGAACAGGACGAGGGAGGAGGATTGTCCGTGCGAGAAGGAGGAAGACGGGAAGGAAGCTGACAATTGCCCACGCGAGGGATCGCTGCCCGGCTTCGCCCACTTGCGAGGCTTCTAGCCCCATTCATTATTCGCGCTTTTCCCAAGCTGCGCTCCTCTGGAGCAAGCCCCTGGTCTTGAAAGTTGACAACAAAGGCTTGCTTGCCATGGGGACAATTGAGAATACAACTTGTCGTGCATCTGGTGAGTTCCTCTACGACCATTTTGAATATAAATTATCTAACGTGTCTCCATTATATTGGCTTTCCAACCCCTGCTTCAAGACGCTTGCTGGTTTACAATTCAGTGAACTAATACCCAGCGCAGTGACGGGAACAAATTGGAGCAGTACGTCTCCTTGCCCTCCTCGTGAATTCACCTCACCTTCATCACTTCGAATGTCTTTCCAGTTCTCTCGCTTTCCAGCCCATTCGACGGAGGCGCTCAGTAGCTTATAACAAGTCGGCGGACGGTGATGCCATCCGAGTCGTGGTGTATCTTTGGACATCGTAATTGCCCCTCAGACCGCCGTTTATATTGACAGATTTCAGGAATGGAGTTATTACAGGGGAGAAAGGCCAAACCATCGGTTTGAAGGGCATAGGTCGTTTCGAGATGACCGGCAGAGCCGCAGCTTGGCCCCAAGAAGCCGTCTATTGCAGTGACCCTCCCGTCCCCAGCTCAACTCTGTGTAACTGTTCAATTTCAGGGCCAGGAACAAAAGATGCATGACGTTCGTCAACGTGAACTTCAACTTGGTGAGTTGGAACGGCCGGGGCTACAGTTGTTCTAACGTTTCTTGTAGAGGCTTTTACAAGACTTGCTCACTCGTCTACGCCTCTGTCCGCTACAAGAATGTTGTACCTGATGATTACGTATAACGAGGATAACATCAGGCTCCTTTTAGCCCTCTTCCTGGAGGTGTTCGCAAAGACGTGCACACTGCACTACACAAGTTTCTGCCAGTTACAACAACGGGCAAAGACCGGCGTTTTTCGAGACAGCAACGGCCTCAAGCCTCCTTTCCGATGTACTACATGAATCGGGAAAGAACTTTCGTCATCTAACCTCCTCGACCGCCCTTTCCTTCCTTCCATTGTCGCAAGGATGCGATGAAAAAACAAATTCTCGTTCGAGGTTGCACAGCCACAGCTTCGGTGCATTTGTCCGATTTGTGGTTCTCCTAGACAGCCCATCCGCCAATCTCAATCTTTACTCCTTCAAAGGAAAGAAGAATACTATCCCCTGCCCGCGTTTCGACATGCGAGAGGAGGCCGTGCACGTCAGTGCTCGCCGTGTGAGAATGAGCGGTCTGGCCAGCTCATGTCTGGGGCTTGCTCAACGGAGCGCAACTTTTGTAGGTTCGAAGTGACTTTAAGAAGCGGCCAAGGCCGGAAAGTAATTTGTCAACTGCTTCGAAGGGAAGATCAGGCGTTCATGTGAGAGGTTGTTGGTTAGACGAACGAAGGTTCAACGTTCATCCTGCACGTGGTGAGTTTTGGACAAATGGTAATTGCCGGACGGATTTTTCAAACTTTTCTATAGGTATTCCGGAGGCTATGAATAGTTCTCGAGCCGACTCTTCAACACTTCTATAGGAGGCTTGCATACTGCAATGCATCTTGCTGGCCAGCTATCGCAAGCTCTGAGTCAGTCTACTCCACCGAGCAAGCCACAAGAACTGCCTCGAATTTGCATGGCTGGAGACATGGGTGGTCTGGAACGGAGTCCTCCGGAGCCCGCCCTCTGACCAGATGGATACGACTGATGAATCTTTGCATCTCCCCCTCTTTACACGTTAGATCGCAGCCGCCGTCTGGAGGGCGTTAGACGTTCTTCCAGACTGCTGCCCCTTTGGTGGTTTGAACAGTAGGACCGGGCCTTTCGGAGTCAGAGGGCGGCTGCAAATTTTGGAGAGACAACAGGGTTGGGGAGTGGTGGGCCGTTGGTGCCAATAATATTTTTGCCACCAAATCTGCAGCTTTGATCGCGTCTCGTGAGAGGATTGTTTCAACTGCTTTCTATATCATTGACGGTCAAGGGAGCCTCAATCACGCATTCATAGAATGACAAGGCGGCAGTGATCCTTATCACCGTTTCATACCCACTCTACAAACTCTCACACTTGGGCTAATGGGTTCATCGATAAGTAAGAACCATACATCTGGATCAGCTTTACTTGTCAGACACGCTGGAGCCTCATTTTGTAACACTTGACTTCGGATGAATCCGATCTATTGGGCATGTCGACCCCACTATATAGGCTAGTAGCCTTCAAGCGGGCTCCGCTCTACAGACCAAGATTTAAGTCCAAGCTCGTTACTTACGATTGATGGGAAACGGTATAAAGAACATTACCCCTGCTGATATTCTCGTTTTGTACGTGATATTGTTAGTCCAATTGAATTCAGGCTGATTGTGAATAAATTAGTGTCGTTGGTCCTACGGGCGTTGGCAAGAGCAGGGTGGGTACTTATCATTGGTTTTATACCCCTCAGATTCTCTTTTACTAATTGTTATCAGCTAATCAACCACTACACTAACGAACGTCTAGCGAAGACCAGCAATGGCCTGGATTCGTGCACACAAAATCTCGAGCATTTCCCCATTCCACTTGAAGGGCCTGAACGCCTCATCCTCGTTGACACGCCTGGTTTCAATGCTACCAGTAGTACCAGCGATTCAAAAATCCTGGACTGCATTCAACGTTGTTGGAAGGCTCAGTTAGTACCTCTTAGTACCTCACTCACTTCCTTACCGCATCGCCCTAATGCTTCGCAAAGCTGTGGAGCTGGAAAGACGTGTGGTGGCCTCATTTACCTCCACGACGTGGATCGCCAATGGGAGGCGGTTTCCAAAGATCTTGAAGGCCTTCAGAAAATTTTCGAGAAGAAGAACCTTCGATTTGTCGTTTTTGCTCCGACGTCTGTTAGTCTTACCCCCGAGGCACTCAAGAGACGCAAAAATCAAAATTTCGGGGCGGATTCGAGTCAGCGTACAGAATTGAGTAACCAGGGGGCAGTAGTTTTCGACAGGCTTCTCGACTCACACGCGTCAGCCGAGGAGTTGGTTGGGATAGCTCTCAACAGGGCCAAGGAAGAGCAGCGCATTCTGCTAGCCGAGGAGCTGGAAGAACTTGGAAAGGTGCTCTCCGGGCATCCTAGGAAGGAACTCAAGAAGACATTTGATGAGATTGTCGAGCGTTACGAGGTCCTGGCCAACTGTGGTGCTGCTCTATCCACTTCCGAGGCCGCAGAGATACGAGCTAAGATCGGCATGGTGTTTGGGCAGCTCCGCGGGAAAACCAGTGTGAAAGACCGTATCTTGAAAATTTTCGGTGAGACCTCAGGCTTTGTCCCGCTATCTCGATTGCAAGTGATTCTCAACTAATCTTCTGTATCAGGCTTGAAATAAATTGAGTCTAGACTATCGCTTCCACAACATCCTCCATTGAATACAATATTCGTGCTTGTTTCTCACCTACTTACTACCCGCCCATAGCGTAGGTAGAGTTGCTAGTAGCAATCAGGGATATCACAATCTTCAACATAGTGAAGAATCCGCTCTATTGTCCCTTCCTTCCGACTGATATGCGAAAAGGGGTTTGTTGTTGGTTAACCCACGCTCGCGGCTCTACTGTCCCTATGGGAAAAGCTTGGCTTCCAGTGCTTCATTGCGACCTGGACAGTAGTTCAAAGGTGGTTGACGAAGTGTAGGTCCTCAACGGTGTAGATATCGAGGCCATGAGCGGGGTTCAGCGTTGAATAAAGCTTATACGGGAGTACTCAGTAACCATGTGGAGAGTGCAGACTTTCCCTGGTCGTTGCAAGGAGAGGCCGTTTTAGAGGGATGTGCGCGTAGCTACAAGCAGCCACATAGCTCAGAAGTCGACGGGTCTACCCTTCATGGCCGGTACCGAGAAGTTTAGACGAGATCTTGTTGGGCTTCATACTGGGAGGGCCGGGGTCGTTACAAACGTCTGGCACGTTGTAGGTCGAACAGTCAACTTTGATTCTGTGTAATAGCGAAGGTGATAGGCTTCAGCGCTGGCAAGAAATCCGCACTTCAGTTCCTTATTTTCAAATTCTATCCGCAGGTCGAAAAACGTACCAAACTGGCTCGGTCGTTGCGTCACCAAGGGAGCCTCGAGTCTGCCGCTGTAGCAGCAATTCGGGAGTGAGTCGTTGATTCTAAAACAAAAGTTGCGTTAGTTTTGTCAGTTTTGAACGTGATGCAAAACCATTTCACCGGATACCTGTGTCCTTTTTTTTCACTCGAGCACCAGCCGCATGTCCACTGCCTTTCGTTATAATTAACCAATGAGAACTTCCCAAGGGCCTCCCTAGGCCCCTCAGCCTTGCCCTTCATTCCAAGTTGTTCCGGATCTTCGTCTTTGCTTTTCCCTCTTTCATCCGTTAGTACCCTGGACAGGCTGTTGATGCAAGTTGAGTAGTTGTTAATCAAACTACAGTGTCCTGAGGTTAATTACCGGATTGTAAGACAGCGACACACCCCATAATGGCCGCAGGATGTAGCCTGAATGATAGAGTCGGTAAGTAATTATGCCGCACATATGAACTAAACTTACCTTTTTATTCAATCGTTGTGCATCGTAGCTCTAAGATGTGCGGGTAGAAATTGACTTGCCGTTGTTCGCGATCATGAGGGCAACTGGACAAACCGTGGACTCACAAGCCACAACACAACTTTCTTCCAAACCACTCCTACAGGGCACACATTGCGCTACCATAAGTACTCCGGTAGCTGATAACACTCTCGACATAGGACTGAATGCCTTCTGATACTTACGCTGCCACGATGAGCAAGACACTGTCACCTCCACTTTCGAACAACTGTGAGGGGCTCAATCAACTGGCCTATCGACCGAAGTTCAGGGCAACAGGGCTCACTGCGTAAGGCTAGGAAGTGATATTTTTAGGAAAGTAAGTAGTCGTACCCGTCTTCTTGGTTGAAAAGGTGAAAGAAACTCTGCATTTCCAGATCTTGTAACGAGCCATTGATGGCGACAAATTTCATGGGCTGTCTATGAATGATTTACTGGAGAACGGTGCAAACGCCAAGCGGCCGAACCTATGATTCAAGACCGTTTTCAGCTTGAAATTCGAGATGCTCTCAATGCTCACCCTCCCCACGGTCATCTGTGTGTCCGTTTTACTTTGCTGCGCCTCGTTGCTAATTGGTAGCCCAGCGCAGTCAAATCTTAGCCGGCTACTCTTTACAGCTTCGGAGTGCACGACTCAAAAGATGTGTGGTAGATCATATCAACGATTTGACTCTATCAACTGGAGCGGGCCCAAAGTCAACTGCGTACTTCATGCCGCAAGGGGCACTTCTCCTAGGAACCCTTGGCCACTTTCCAATCCTTCCAAACATCCCCGCCTATTGAATGAGCTGGAAGGCGAGCTCGGCCTCTGGTTGATGAGCTCTCTAGCTGATGGCCAAAAGAGAATGGGCTTCTTGACTAGCAAGGAGAGGACGGAGATACGAAACCGCTACTCGAAAACCAGAGAAGACCAACTTTATGTGCGGCCATGAAAAATCAGTACACGATGCGAGCACCTTCGACGCATCGCTGTGAAGTTGGGGTCAACCCGCTGGCAGCATGTCCTTTGACCCAAACGACTCCACGTCAAAAGTACGAAACATCTCGGAATTTTGATGGTCAAATGCGTGTTGGAAGAGGATTTGAAGCACAAGTTCCAACTATGATGACCGGAGGGCACTTGACCCCTTTTCACGCAGTTGCATCTGGTGGCGGTTCAGTGGCTTACACTGAGAGGAAGAAAGTGCCATTACGCAGTTCTGTTACACTTGCGCACCTTCACCAGCCTTGATACTGCAAACCATCTGAATCGTCACCGGCCCCAGTTGCTTTAAGCATTTCCCCAAATTTCCCCACCCACAGAAATTCGCTTTTAGACGGGGCTACTCTCCGATCCTTTCCCAAATACCTCCATCAAAAGTCATCACGAACAACCCAATGAAACGTGGTCTATGGTTTCTCTGCCTCACGCAGCCGATTGTATCTATGCTCTGCGATGGTAGGTTTAGGGGCTGCCGGGAGGTCGGAAACAGGAAGAAGAGTGGCTTGGCTATGGGGGTACGTTCCTTATGAAATGCCTTCAGGGCTGTCTTTTCGCCATGTTCCTGATTGTCCGAACCTTCTCACAGATCGTCCCCTCGGCTGCTCAAGGAGCTTTTGAGCACCGTCCTGTCAGACGATCAGTATCTGACTTCTCACAAACAGTCAACCGAACTTTTCCCCTTCCACCGTTCCACCTCACATTCAAGTTCAAGATTCTCCGCCCCGCTACTCTGACACACTGACTGCATACCACGAAGCCTTCTTCATGAGCTCCAGCTCTACAACCGACTTAACAGCCACCTGCTCTCTTTCTCATCTCCTCGTTCTATCAGAAGGGATCTTCAAAATCAGCACCCGTCAACGCAACACCTCCGTTGGATGCCAATTGCGGAAGAGCCTCTCCGGTCCCTTCTTCCACCTCCCCTTCTTGCAGGAGTGGAATATAGTAGCGAAGCCCCACGAGAGGCTTGAGCCCACCCACAACTCCTCTTATTCCGATCTGTGGCCCCTTCCCTAGGCGGCCCAAGGTCCGTCATTGACAAGACATAAAGGCCCATCCTGCCACGTGTCTGGGTGGCGAGAGTATGCGAATGAACTTTCTTCCATGCCGCTCTTCCTCGCTTGGTCTTACGACGACTAGAAGTCTCAGGGTTGGGGCTCGCTGCTATACACTCCCAGACGGCCGTTTGTTGATGTCTGTGGGGAAGCAAGTCTACGGCTCGCCTGTAAGGGCTTTTCTAGACTGTCGCTGCTCGGCGTAGCTGATGGAAGTTGGGAAATGGCGCTTCCCTACCCCTGAAAGTAGGAGACTGGAATGTCTGGATTTTCCGAAAAGCGACAGTCTTGTGGCTCCTCCTTCAACGTTCTTCCAAGTTCCTCACTGCCACTTGTTGATCAGACAAAGGCAATCGGCAGGACACTCACCATCTCCAGGCTCAGGATGTTTGGCATTGATCACTTCACCGCTATCAACCCTTCGCATTCATGCATTCTTGTCGTTGGCTAAACGGAGGCCAAACTCGTTCCTGCTCTGGAGGAGGAACGTAGTTTCAAAGTTGTGCAAGTCTTGCTTGGATTGTGTAAAGCGGGCACCGATTGTAGGACGCATGTTGGAGGCAGGCTTGTCGACATAATCAGGTAGAGCTGCTGCTGGGGTTTGCGCGGTGCTTGTTTGTTTAGCAAGGGCCAAGCAAGGGGCCAAACCTGGTATCTCTTTGTATTTTTCGACGTAAAGGTTCTCGCTCCTCAACGCTGTTCGTTGCTTGGTGGAATGTGGTGGAGGGTGAAACCCGTAGATCTTTCTCGTGATGAAGTTGGGATACCTGAATGGCACCTGACGACACAGAAAACGTTCCTCCACGTTCAACTTTGCGACCACAGTAGGGTTTATTGGCATTGAGAGACGAAAATGGCGGAGGGCCAGTAAATCAAAGATACCCATTTGATGTTCAAAACATGTCAGCTTTGAAAAGAGAACAGCCGTCCCCATTGATCACAACAGATGCTCGGCGACATTTGCACTTCGGATAAGAATGCAGTGTTCACAGCCGCATCATAAAGACCGACATTATTAGACGCCCGCCTCCTTGAACTCTTCCACTCCAACTCCGCATTTTGAACGCTGAACCTCAAATGGCCTCAACTCCCGCTGGATCCAATAGACAACACGAAGTCTGTCCACCATCTCCCGAAGGCCCACCAGATGTTCTTGGAGGAAAGGCGGTAAGTACTATTTGGGCTCTCCCTACACCATTTTGCCTCACAAATGACTTGAATATTGTGCAGATTGTGGCTGTCAAACCAAGCGGGCCTCGTTACAGTTGCGTCTTTCCTCATAAAATCACTACCTTTGTTCTCACACGTTGAGTTATCCAGTGTACTACCGTCTGTATACGAAGGACGGGCCAATCAGGTCGAATAACCCAATCTGCGTGAACAACCCGTTCATCAGCCGCACTCTTCCAAAGTTCGTCACGCCTCCTCGTATAGCCTTATCCGTAAAGAACCATCTCTGCAAGATTGAGGGCTTATCAGCTCCTACAAGTTCCACGTTATTTGAGTCACTTTCAAGCGAAACCGCAGTTGTGGAATCCTCTCGATTGGCTTTTGGAGGGTCTTCTGGTCCTGGGTCGTCTGAGAATGACCCTATAGTTCTCGTGGTTGGATTAGAAGACGCTGAAAAGCGACTAGCAAGCACAGCACAGTCGGAGAGACTGCTTGAGGCTGTACTGCCTGAGCCCCGTTATAGTATGTTCCAAAATGTTATTAATAACCCTCGCTTACTTGTTTTGGTCCAGTCTATTATCGACTCTACGACGAAGATGGTGCATTGGCATCGAAGACGTCCTTTGATTCGGAAGACTCATCCTTGGGCCGCATCGACACGCACTCCATCGCACCACCACAAACAGTCTCTTCATTGAGCTTCCAAGTCACGAAGGCCGAGGGCTTTGTGACTCGAGCTGTTAAGGTGTACCAAGACATGGACGGAGAGGTGCTGATGACTGATAATGATCACCTACCCCTTCAAGCCCAGGCTTACCCAGGACATCTTGAGGATGAACCCATAACGATTGTCTGTGGTCAAGAGAATTCAATGGCCCCATTAAGCGCAGTGGACTTAAGCCTCTTAACGCAGATTAGAGGGGGGGTGGCATGGAGTAAGTGAAATTAGCAGACAATTGTCAAAATGAATCTCATGCATCCTGCAGATCCCAGTGAAACCCATCAGGCAGACTGGCTTCCTTTCAAGGAGGGGGAGGTCATGTACACGGATGGCATCAAAACATCAGGTTTTATTCTCGGACTCCCAAGTACTCCTCTTTTGTATATTATAAGAATAGTACTGATGCATTCTTTATAGATCCCTATAGCGGTTACGTTGCGATGAACTCCGCCGGACGGAAGGGCTGTGAGTCGCTGGTCCTGAATTCTTAAACGACTTGAAATACTGAGGATATTGTTCTTGTCAGTTGTCCACGATGGTCAGTGGCAGGTTTTCATGTGCCATGTCCCTTTTAAAACTTCCTTCATCATCTGCTCAGGCCATCTGAGACGTCCTTAAGAGAGCTGTTGAGGAGTTTATGACAACCTCATCCTTGAACATAGACATCTAGGGTGGCATAAATGTGTGTTTCTGTATTTCAAGATAGTCGAACGTTGAGGATTAGAAGGAGGATTGGAATTTGTCTCGGAACTATTCGCGCACAAAAGTCCCACCGTATCTTCGCCAAACCTAGGTACTAATGAGCTTGCTTATGGCCTGCCACACAGTAGTACCGAAGTTTCCTCATGCATTAACTATGGAGCTGGCAGTAAACCTAACAGATGGATCGGAAAGGTGACAAACTGGAAAGGATTTAGAAGCGCAATGTTTAGAGTGCAGGCGGGACTCACCAGAGGCACTCAGGCCAAGGAAAACGTATTACTCCCAATAGGTGAATGATCAATAGGGTAATCACAGCGCAGAAGGCATTCTGAGCAGCGTGAATCTTGATACCGGACTAAGCGATGTTGTCTATGGGGCGAGAAGTGAACATACACACCGAAACTTACTACGCCAGAGGATACTGGTCACTCTTCGTGACCTTGGTCAGAGAGAGCTGTGTCTCAAAATGTAGTGGCAACCCATGGAGAAAGCGAAGGATGGAGATGTGGTAGTAGACCTGTCTTCTAAAGGGTCGAGTCCAATGGAAGCGATTCTACCAATCCAAACAGAACTTGGCCAGAACTATTGGCACGACAACGTTCTGCGGGACAGTAGGTGACGGCTTGTTCATTTCAAAGAAACTGCGCACCTTCATCAAAGTATCCGCTGTGGGCCATGGTTGGCCGAAGGTGTACATCAGAGATCGATACACCTGTGCACCATATTTCGCGCCTCAAGATGACATGAATGCTCCAGAAACTGGCCAGATACAGCATTTGGGGGCTCCATTGAGACTTTAGAAGAGAGAATGAATAGTCGTCGTGGTCGTCGTTCTTGCGTGTGACAAACCTGGGCCGTCATTGGTGTAGACGACACTGAGCTCATGAAGAGATCACGACAACGTCGTTCAGCCATCCTTATCTCGCTCGTGATACAGACTCTGAGCTTGTTGTGGCGTCGCGCAACTGCAAGTCTTGCAGAATGCCTATAGAAAAGTTTGAGAGTCTGTCCGACGATAACCATGTTGTCCAAACTCACCGCATACCACAACCAAAAGAAATCTCTCACATGAATGCGCGATCTTCTCTTCGAAGCGGGAGACGAATTAGTTTCCGCCTTCTTAAGGCCACTCCGAATCTACTACGCGGATTGCATTTGAGCCCCAGACATCAGGCCAGCCACAAGGCGAGCATCGACGTGCACGGCCTGCTCTTGCATGTCGAGACACTGGGGACGGTGTTCCGTTTTTCCTTGAGGCAAAGATTGAGATTGGATGGGGGTGACCGGAAAAACAACAAACCGAAGAAGTGTATCGGAGCTGTGGCTGTGCAACCTCGAACGGGAATTTGTCTTTTCATCGTATCCTCGAAGCTTCCTTGCGACAAGGGGGGGTCGAGGAGGGTAAGCTGACACAAGCTCTTTCTCGATTCATGTAGTAGCATCGGAAAGGAGGGTTGAAGCCGTTACTGAGTCTTGATAGATGCCGGTGTTTACCTGACGTGGGGGTGTCAACATGGACGTACATGGCTTCCTCTTGCATGTCGAGACACTGGGGATGGTGTTCCGTTTTTCCCTCGAAGGACGCAAAGGTTGAGATTGGATGAGGGTGACTGGGAAACCAACAAACCGAAGAAAGTGCACCAGAGCTGTGGCTGTGCAACCTTCAACGAGAGTTTCGTATCTAAACTTCTTGCGCAAAAGGAAGGAAAGGGGGGTCCAGGAGAATAGATGACACAAGCGATCCATGTAGTGGCATTGGAAAGGAGGATTGAAGCCGTTGCTGAGTGTTGAAAAATGCAGGTGTTTAGCTGACGTGGGGTGTCAACATTGACGTGCACGGCCTCCTCTTGCACGGGGGATGGTGTTCCGTTTTTCCTTTAAAGGAGGCAAAGGTTGAGATAGGATGGAGTGACTAGGAGAACCACAGAAGCGAAGAAGTGCCTCGGAGTTGTGGCTGTGCAACCTCGAACGGGAATTTGTCTTTTCATCGTATCCTCGAAGCTTCCTTGCGACAAGGGGTGGTCGAGGAGGATATATGGCGCAAGATCGATGCATGTAGTGGCATCGGAAAGGAGGATTGAGGCCGTTGCTGAGTCTTGGAAAATGCCTGTGTTTGCCTCCTGACATGGGGTGTCAACATTGACGTACATGGCCTCCTCTTGTATGTCGAGACACTGGGGATGGTGTTCCGTTTTTCCTTCGAAGGACGCAAAGGTTGAGATTGGATGAGGGTGACTGGGAAACCAACAAACCGAAGAAAGTGCACCAGAGCTGTGGCTGTGCAACCTTCAACGAGAGTTTCGTATCTAAACTTCTTGCGCAAAAGGAAGGAAAGGGGGGTCGAGGAGGATAGATGACACAAGTTCTTTCCCGATTCATGTACTGGCTTCGGAAAGTAGGATTGAGGTCGTGCTGAATCTTGAAAAAATGCCGGTGTTTAGTACCTGACTGTGGGGTGTCACGCTCAACAAGCCGGACGCTGGATGCGAATGCTGGAGGCACCGAAGCATCTCATCTCCACATCGCCTTCCGACAATCTCCGAAATGTCGCTCACAGGAACTAGCCATTGGTTTGTATGGTGGCTGTTGCATCCGAGTCAAAAAACCCAACAGGAGTATGCTCTTAGGATTCAGAAATGGGGTCGGATTGGTTGTCATTGACTTCTGAAGGCGGTGGATTTTGAAAAAGTTCAATCGATTAATCCTTGACTGCCAACTCCTTCAACGTCTTCATGCCACTTCCAATAGACTTCCTGACCAATTCCCTCTTAGCGTCAGCAACTCTTCTCCGCGAAGCCACTGCGGTCGTGACCTTAGGCTGTGGAATATTGTAGAACGTCCCCGCGTCGTCCCCACTTTTGGTGACTCTGCGGAGTGGAGATCCAGAGATCCGCAACATCAACCCCAGGCGCGAATCTGGACGGGTGACTTGAGGTCGTATGAAACGATGAATGCGGAAGACATTGTACGATGGGGCATCCGATAAGAAGACGGTCGGGTGACAGCCTGGAGCATTGGATTTGCCTATAGCGAGTCAGCAACGAGAGTCATTGAATGAGTCGCCCACACGTACCTTTAGAGCGAAAAAGGCTTTCTGTACAAAAGGTAATGGTGTGTAGCTTTGGACTTCCAGCAGCAGCAACGATTAAGCCGAGGCAAGCGATCATTCCATGAAGGGAGGTAGGGCGGTCTCGTACATTTATGGGCACTTGAAGGTTGCGCCGTGCTAGAGGAGTGGTGGGTCGAAGATGAGTTGAAGGGGACGTGGGTCAGAGGACGGGAGAGAATGCGCTCCCACTTTCCACACCGAGGAAGAGCGTGCCGAAGGCTAAGCGCAAGCAGATGCCATTCGGTAAAGTATGCGGATGCTTGGAGGGTTTGGGCTTGGGTGAACTTGTTGGTGTAGTGTCGTGGTCGTCGATCGGATGGATCGGAGGGGGTGATTTGAGCATGGACGTGACAACTTTCTCGAGCCCTTCTGCGCGTAATCTGAGGCTTCGTGCGAGTGTTAGATCCTGGGGTTGTAGCCTCTCGTGATTGCGAGCGCCGCCTTCACTTCCGAGCTCGTGCTGTTCCCCATAGTTGTCTGGTCTCCGACAATAATGTGGCATGTGCATGATTAGGCGATGATGCATGATGCATGATGGGCCACCCGTACGATCAGTCATGCCAAGCTCAGCTCTAGCCTAGACAAAACGCGTTCTCCCTGCGATTGAGTGTAAGTCTCAAGAATCTGAATGGTAATTTTGGAAAAAATGGGTGCAGCGCACCATATGGACCCACAACATGGTCAAATATCAATATATCAATATGCGTGTGCTGTTCTCGCGCGGCAGATCGAGTAAAGATGGTGAGCATGCTTGTATGCCGGAGGATTGAAAGCGGGCTGGGCGAGAGTTGACGTTGATCATGAGGCAGACAAAATCAACAAACTTTTCAAGGATATGTAAATTATGTAAGTAATAAGGGCAGAATATCACGATCATGATGGTGGCTTCTTCTAGCGGCAGGAAACTCTCATGGCGCGCCAGTGACAGCACTCGCCCAGTCACGTCGATTGGGTAAGTATCTTCGTGAGTTTGTTATAGCTTTTTTTATATGCCAGTGCGGCAATGCGACTGAATCGATGAAATGATATAGCTAGCATACGTGCGAGACAATCTTTCGAAACGTTACATAACATGTCAAGTTGTCGTATCAGGACAAGTCTTCCAATATTAGACCGTAACCTTTTTCGGCACGAGCCTCTGTGGATGCGGAGTAAGGATAGTCCTGTTTTTACCGCGTCCCCAAAACCGCGTCAGAAAATGCTTATGTAAAGTGCGGACTTTGAAACCGCGTCGCGTCAATATTGAGAGACGCCCTCAGAACTCTCGACGCGTTTAAACCTTTGTAACACCATCTACCACCACAAATTCCATTCGTATTAGATGACAACCTCAACCTCAACGGATAACAATGTTCAAATTGTCAGATCCTTCAAGAAATTAGAACCAATCCGTGAAATACCCGAAACTCCGGCGTTTATCACACCCTTCCTGCCATCTCCATCGAGTTCTCTTCTTGCGACATTTCGAAATGACTAACATGGGTCGTCACTACACCTTTATTTTTTGGCTCTCCATTCAACAATCTTGGCTCCCTTGGTGGATCTTTGAGCCAACCTCAACTCATCCAACTTCCGCAAAGCGACGCGCAGAAGCTTGTGGAGAGGGCGAAGAAAACTCGAGTGACGATGACAATGGCTTTGAGGACTACGGAGCTCTTTCTGATGGTAATAACGGTGTCGACGAAGAAGATTATACATATAATTTGGAGTAGCATAACGCTGTCTAAAGTAGGCAATGATTATTACTTTCTTTTCGATCCCCTCAGACCTCCAGTCTCTTTTCCACTACCCAAATGATCCTTCTACAACAGCATTTCGCGGCTGCGGTACTGCGGACCATAGTCTCGAAGGACTTCGGCAACACTGAGCTGAGTGGCTCTAGGAGCTCGTCGTCGCCGCATTGTGGTGTTCGTCGTATCTTCAAGAGCTTGGCGCCTTCGGTCTGGGAATTCATCGAGTTGTTGTTTGGGAAGTTCGTGAACCGTTTCTTCAGGACCCGGGTCGGATAAGATTGGGCCAACGTCAAGCCAACGTCGTCATCGTCGAGAGCTCTTGCGGCCTGCCTTTTTCGCGTTGCTTGGCTAGATTACGTTCTCGTGCAGAATTTTGTTGAAGTGTGATCGTGTATTAGAGTAGAAATGCATGAGTTATCACGTTGAGAGCAAACGGCAACGACACAATATTGACGCGACGCGGTTTCAAAGTCCGCACTTTACATAAGCATTTTCTGACGCTGTTCGGAGGGCGTGGTAAATAACAGACTTCATATATCGTGAACCAAGGTACGACTTCACATATATCGAAGTCTGTCTAGGAGAGACTAGAGTAAGGAGGGGGTTAGGTCATTTTAGCATCGATAGTATGGCCTTTATTCTGCACAAAAAATACGCGCCCCCCAAATTGTGGGAAATGCCCGGATTAAAGTTGTTTGTAGATGTGCCGCCGAATAACATCATGTGCCCCGCCGAATCAAAAAATTTTAAAATGACCTATTATACTATTTTGAATGCCCAAATTGCATAAAAACAAGTGCCGCCCCGAATGTCGAGGTGCCGCGCGCCAAATCAAGTTTGGACTTTGTCAAAATTTGGCTGGGTCAACTATATTTTCGAGCTCAGGGGGTGGGGAAAGAAGATTAAATGTACAAATTTGGTATTGTTAGAATCGTATTAGCATCCTCTATTGATCTATGCATACTAGAGAAGCACGGGTGGTAGTGTAAATATTTTATTGCAGCAAGAGACTTCTGAACAATGCTGGAAGGGCCAGGCAAACAAAGGCAAACAGTCCAATAATTCTACAAGTTCATGCTACAAAACATGGGGGAAAAAGCTTGAATGCTCAAACAAGCTGGAATAGTAATCTAGCAGCAATTCTGTTTCTACTGATACTATTTTTAAGAGCACCAGTCACCTGTGGCCAAGCAAATCCAATGCTCGGCTGATTTCTCTGGGTTGTCACACTGTCACAAGTGTGATTGTTGGTTCAATCCAGAGTGCTTTGAAAGAGAAGCAAAAACTCACTTTCTTCAATTCTTAGGCACCACTCTGACTGATGTCTCCCATTGTTCCTTCTGTGTAAAACTGTACTGAACAATGAGTTAGATAAGCCATCTAGAGATAGAAATTGAGAGAAAATACACCTGTAATGCTGCAGGTCCAAAGTTCAGAGTAATTAGTGTTTGCAGGTCCAGTCTACATATACATAGGACTGAACTGGACTGAACCACAGTCCACCTTTCTCCAGTTGCAGTTGCCCACATTTGTAATCAGTCCAGTTGCCAGTTGCCATGTTTTTGTAAATATTTAAAAACTGAAAAAGACTGGTTTAGACTGGTTGCAACTGGTCTTTTATCCCACCACATGTTGGACCTTACTCACCAAAATTACTCACACACATTTTGACTTAATTTTTGGTCCCTCAATCATCAAAAACAGTCAATATTTGGGTGAGATATGGCCAAAAACACTTTTATATGCAATCTGAATGTATGTTCTCTCTGTTTTCACCATATCTCAGTCAAATCTTAACTGAATTGCTTCAAATTTTAAACAATCTACAGAGAATTAAATGATCTATCCATGGATGCAATGTATGTGAGGTAACATTTGAAATATTTGTCACAATAAATTTTTCAACAAAAGACTGATTGCAACTGGTCTGGACTGGTTTTTTTTGCATTGTGGACTGATTAGGACCAGTCTAAAAGGGTCTGGTTGCAGTCCCTTAATATCTGGATTGGTCTTGACCAGTTGCAGTTGCCAGTTGCCTCATTTTGAGGTTAAAAAAACTGGACTAGACTGGACTTTAAAACATCAAGAGTAATAGCTTGTCCAGTAGTTGAGAAGTTCTTGAGCTCCAACATCTTAATTGAGGCTGGGTTTTGCTTCTTCTTAGAAGACAAAAACATAGGAGGATAGAGGGGAGTTTGGCCACCCCTGTTGCCCCACTTCCAGCTGCAAGTGTTCTTCAGCTGGACAACATGGCCATCCTGTGCTCCAGAAGACTTCTCTTTGCTTTTTGAAGCATCTGCCTAAAGCACTTGGACCTTAAGCCTCAGATAGACATATTGAGGAGTGCAAAACGAATGAAGGTTGGGTCATTTTCTGGTTCTTTCTAAGAATCTATTGTACCTCAAATGTATTTGTGTATTCTTTTACATTATGTAGTTGTATTACACTTCCCTTGGTATGGACTAATTTCAATGAAAGCTGGGGCCTTGAGAAGGTTTTTATTCTGGAGGCCATTTTTGACATCTGAAAAAATAAATATGCACTAACTGGGGAGGTAGCCAGAACATACCTCTGGTTAATCTGAATGAGTCTATCAAAGAATCAGTTAAAAATACTGAGAAGTTAGGTTTGTAGAGGCTTTGGAAAATGGCAGGCTTGTATTGTCTAAAACAGGCCAAAAATAGCACAAAATGACCATTTTCTGGGGGCCCTACAAGCTCTAACTCATTATTTAGTACAGTTTTACAAGAAGGAACAATGGGAGACATCAGTCAGAGTGGTGCCTAAGAATTAAAGAAAGTGAGTTTTTGCTTCTCTTTCAAAGCACTCTGGATTGAACCAACAATCACACTTGTGACAGTGTGACAACCCAGAGAAATCAGCCGAGCATTGGATTTGCTTGGCCACAGGTGACTGGTGCTCTTAAAAATAGTATCAGTAGAAACAGAATTGCTGCTAGATTACTATTCCAGCTTGTTTGAGCATTCAAGCTTCTTCCCCCATGTTTTGTAGCATGAACTTGTAGAATTATTGGACTGTTTGCCTTTGTTTGCCTGGCCCTTCCAGCATTGTTCAGAAGTCTCTTGCTGCAATAAAATATTTACACTACCACCCGTGCTTCTCTAGTATGCATAGATCAATAGAGGATGCTAATACGATTCTAACAATACCAAATTTGTACATTCAATCTTCTTTCCCCACCCCCTGAGCTCGAAAATATAGTTGACCCAGCCAAATTTTGACAAAGTCCAAACTTGATTTGGCGCGCGGCACCTCGACATTCGGGGCGGCACTTGTTTTTATGCAATTTGGGCATTCAAAATAGTATAATAGGTCATTTTAAAATTTTTTGATTCGGCGGGGCTAGTGTTTAAAGGTTCAGTCCATAGGACCGCAAAAAACCGGTGGACTGAACTGAACCGGACCATGGACCGGTCTTTTTTTCGGTTGCAGTTGCCCCAATTTGGGGTTGGTCCGGTTGCCGGTTGCCTCATTTCGAAAATCTTTTAAAACCGTTCAAAGACCGGTTTTAATCGGCTGCAACCGGTTAAACGATTACGTGCGCTACATAGCCTTGTAACCACGTTTATTGCCTTTTATTGGGTTTTTGTTTCATCAAAAACGGTTAAGAATTGAGAAAGATATAACCAAATCCATATTTTACCCAAGTCTCTAGGAGATGTAATTCAGTTTCAGTCATAGCTATGTCAAATCTTCATTAAATCTCTTGAAAATTGGTAGAATGATGGGTATTTATATGCTTTACTATTTTATATAACCCGTTTATTTTTCAGAGTAATAATGGTTGAGATACAAATGGTTTATATTGGTATAATAAATTATATGCAAAAAACCGGTCTGGATCGGTCTGAACCAGTATCATGGACCGCAAAAGACCGGTCCTAGGTGGTTCGGTTCGGTTCCCTCAATATCTGGGTCGGTCCTGGACCGGTTGCGGTCCACGGTTGCGCATTTTCGGGGCAAAAAACCGGACTGAACTGAACCTTTAAACACTAGGCGGGGCACATGATGTTATTCGGCGGCACATCTACAAACAACTTTAATCCGGGCATTTCCCACAATTTGGTAGACTCGAACCCAGTCTCCGATGGTAGTAATTTGCTATGTTTTATTTGAGTAAGAGAACGTAGTGTTGAATTCGAAAAAATGGGGAAGTTCTGTATTTGGAATGTGTGAGCGGGTAATTACTACCATGGAGACTGGTAGGACTTCATCACGACCAAGGAGAGAACTTTTTCGAACCCCGACATCACCTGTAAAAGGAAAGAAATCCGCATGTGCGCATGCACGCATGCCCATTAACGGCGAACGTGTTCGCGTCGCGTACATGCCGGATGCTAGTATATTGACTACAAACATATAAAATGAGCTTAAGCAGTCCTCAAATAATTCAGGCATAGAATAATTTAATTTATGTACAACGGTACACCTCTGTCATTTGTATATCTTCAGTATTATTCATCACCTGAGACCTCAATTCAATCAGTGACTCCTAACCCCTCTCCCTATCTATTCACCCCTCAACATGGTTTCCCTCTCGAAGGTTCGCTCCTACAAACCAGAAGAAATAGATATTGGGAAGCTGGTGGAGAAAGCAAACCAGATTTTCCACAAGCGACCATTTGAATGGCAACTTGATGTTCCACGCATGGTTCTATGTGGCGAAGATGTAGTTTTGGATGTCGGGACTGGAAGTGGAAAGACCCTGTGTTTTTCCCTTCCCCTGCTGTTGGATGAGACGGGAACAGAGATAATCCTGACAATTTCTCCCCTCACGGCGCTGATGATAGACCAGGTAAAGCAATTCAAACAACAGAGATATTTGACTGACCTGCAAGTAAGCCGACACAGCTGATATTCCTACAGTTGCTGTTTGTGCAGAAACTATAGCACATGTTGGCATGAAGCAAATGTATGAGGTGCGTATTTGATCCTCTGTTTATGTTCATTGCTAACCGATACTTAGGATATTGTGAACAGAAAGTTTCGACAAGTTGTAGTCTCACCTGAGATTGCCATTTCAACTTCATTTCAAAAGGGAGTTACGTCAAAGGAAGGCTTTTACACAAGGTTGCGTGCGCTTTGTATTGATGAGGCCCACTGCATGACATTGTGGGGAGGAACCTTCCGTCCCGATTATGGAAACCTTGGAATATTGCGTGGCTGCTTTCCCAAAAATGTCCCAATTGTTGTTGCATCTGCAACACTCCCCGATCACATCCTAGATGATATCCGTCGGAAGTTGCGACTTTCACAGTCAGTGAAAGTCATCAGCGTATCAAATGCACGCCCCAACGTTGCGCTCTCTGTTAGAGCAATGCAACATTCTGATGAATCCAAAGCAGACTTACAGTTTCTCATCCCCAAGGATGCATCAAAGCCGGAGGACATTCCGGTGACATTAGTTTACTGTAATCAACGGACAGTTGCTGAAGATGCTGCTGATCGCCTTCGTGACTGGGCTGAAGATTGCGGAATAGCCCCAGATTGCATTGCCCTCTACCACTCAAAAGTTGGCCAAAAGCGAAAGCGGGAACTGGAGGAAAAACTCCAAAACGGTGAAATCAGAATCTTGTTCTGCACCGATGCAGTGGGCATGGTGCGTCTACTAGTTTCTTGTCAGAAATTCAGTCATCTTGACTGCGATAAATTAAGGGTTGTGATATGCGAAATATCTCACACACCATCCTTTGGGGTCTTCCTCCATCATTCTGTGCTCTTGTTCAACAAGCGGGTCGAGCTGCAAGAGATTTTAGCAAGTTAGGAGAGGCCATCTTAATCGTTCCAAGCAGCGTGGTAAAAAATGGAACGACAGATGAAGAGGTTCTTGCCTGCTTGAAAGAAATGGCTGAACTACTGAGACCCGAGGCAGAGAATCATGGCAGTGATGTTGAAGAGGTTTTAGCCAGCGAAGATATCACGGCCCTTCCAGCTGAGGTTGTCAATGAAGAGGGCATTCGCGTTCAAGCAGTTGGGGGTGAAGAAGATTTCGAGCCAGAAGAAGAAGATACTGTGGCAGCAAAATCTCGGAAAAAGAAATTTTCAAAAGATACCAACACGTACGAGGCGCGTTTTCTCTCGATGTTTGTGTCCACCGATAAATGTCGCCGGCATGTGTGGGATGCCTTCTTCAAGAATGACAAAAAGCGTGAGTGATTTACTCAGCATACCCATACTACTCACACATACTTTGGATGAAGTCCAGCTCATCTACCCAACGACATCTTCATTCCAGACCCTTCCCAATACCCGCTGCTGTGACAACTGCACCCCCCGCCTCTTTCCTGTTGAGAAGATTGCAGTTACCAAAACTCCTGGCCTGAAGCGGGGAAAAAAGAAACAGATCCCTGAAAAACAAGAAAAGGCCATTCGTAATCAGCTCAATGAGTGGCGAGAGGAAGAGCTGGTTGAACTGGTATATCCAGGTATCGTGAGTATTTCTGGAGCAACAGTGTTGGGTGACGATGTGGTGGAGAAGATTGCTACGTGTGGTGAGCGCATTGATACCTACTCAGAATTACGACGACACGTCCGATGGGCATATGGTCATGATCCAGTGGCAGATGGACCGAATGAGTATGGAAAACTACTCCTAACCCGTTTATCTCGCATCTATCAAGGATTCGACGAAGCACTTGCAGAAGAGCAACGGCAACAAGCACTTGCAACCCCATTCCAGGTGATAACACCGGAAAGCTTCTATGCTCATTATCCTGGAGGGTCTGAAGAAGAATCTGGCGGACCTTCCAACGTAGCTGCTTCACAAACTATCAGAGGGAATACACGGGGGCGAGGAACAAGAGCACGGGGAAGGGCTAATTGAGGTACAGGCAATAGAGCACGAAGGGGCAAGAATGTGTAAAGCTCTAGTAATACGCAAATGTTAATGTAAGTTTCAATCACAATTGAAATAAGGCGACGTACCTATTCATAACGCGAAAATTCATCCACAATTTCTTTTGTCATAGCAATGAAATCCCCAATGTCCGTTCCTGGTGGGTACTCGTCTTCGTCAAATGTGAACGGACTGTTGTTCCCATCGAAAATCATATCCTCAGCCATCAAGGACTCTGAACTGTTATGACCGAGATCACAATCAGCAACATCCTCATCGTTGGGATTGTCATTGTCGGTAGGACCCATCGTGACTTGACCTTCAGAGACTCCGAAATTCGTTGCCTTACGGCGGGTGTATGTGAAGTTTCGGAACGCGCTGGGCTTATTGGCGTACTCGGCACCAACTGCGAGGAGGTCCCGAACTGGAGTGGCATACTGGTTGTTGTCCCGATCAAACTTGTAAGTTTGCAGCTGTTCGCTCTTGAGGTAGCTTCGAAGAGTCTTGAGGTCAGCTTCAGCAGACAGGCTGGTATGAGAGGTGGCGTTGAACAGTGTCTTATATTCTGATTGGACCTGTCGGATCACATCGCGTAGAGCAAAAATGGATACTGAAACCATAGCTAGCCACTCCCAGCTGCGGTTTGATCCTTTTGCACAATAGATAATCTTAAAAATGCAAAAAGATAAGACAAATCACACAAGTAAGTATCTTCAATGTACCTTGGCCCAGAAATTTTGATGTTCTTGTAGAAGGTCCATTTCTTTGAAACCATTAACTTTACCGGAGAGATTGGCAAGCCAGTTCATGAGCCAAGCCTCTCTATGAGCCATAGTCAGTCACTGAATACATGACATGAATCAATGAAAGCCTACCGTAGCTTAGGGTGCATTGTCTTTAGGTCTATGAGCAAATGAAAGAGGGCATCCGCATACTTGGGCATTCGCCCCGTCCCACGAAACATCACCATCCAGTGTGTGCAAATGTCAAGAATGGCACCAACATCGCCACGTTTGATTGCGTATTTGAGCTGCCGGAGAAGAAGCGCATCACGGTTGAAGAGGCAAATGTTCTCGAGTGGCACGTCACGCTTTTTTGGCGGGAGTCGACGCAAGCGCTGAACGCGACGTGCTGAGCAAAGCTCTACTAATAGTTTTCGCACAACATTGCGAACCTCCACAGTACTCCGAACCTTTGATACCCACTCTTCAAGTGTCGCATACCCACAGTAGATCCGGAAACCATCAAGGATGTTGGTGGGTAACGCCATCGTGAGTATAAGTTCCCAAGACAGCCGAAAAGGGGGGAGGGTTTTCGCTGACCAGCCTCCAACCATAGCCTTACGTCCAAGCAGGGTATTCACCTTCCAAAGTGACCAAGGTGATTTGCTATTGGGTTTTCCCCAGTGTTCATTGGTAACCATATGGTCACCCGCCATCTTCATGTGAAACACTCCATCTTGACCTTTTGTGTATCGACTCACGTTCTCGAGGAGGTCTGAGTCATCTCGACGTGCCGCAGCTACCTGATCACAAGAAAGTTTAGTTTCATTCACCATGCATCAGTGAAAGATTTACCTTGTCAACGAGGAGCTTAGAGAGCTGATCTCCAGCACAAATGAGTATGCCGTGCTTCTGGAGGTCTTCCGCAGTGAACTTCAAGTGGCGCGTAACGATGGTGTCGAGAACCTCTAGAGTTCCATCCAAACTTGACTCATCAATGTGCATCGCAGGCAAGGGATACTGTTTCGTTTTGTGCAAAGGGATCTGATAGACTGAGGGCGCTGCTTCAATCTCATGCCGAAAACGGTCACAAAGATCAGGGAAGGCATCGTAGAGGATGTCTTGGATATGCCAAAGTTGGCCATCCTCGACACGCCGTGCTTCCTCCAAAGACGGAAGAAGATCTGCTGGCCCAAAGGACAACAGCGGAAGGCGGTTGTTGCGACGAGGCAACAGGTCAAGCAGTAGTCCACCGAACTCGACCCCGAAAAGGGGGATGAGAGTGGCCATCATCCCGTTGTCAAAATGTGCCTTCAAATCATGACGTTGTTCCGTCACATTGAAGGCGATGTTCAGATTATCCCAGATAATCATCACAGCCTGGGTATGTGAAACGGCGTGCATTTCCTCAAGACGCTCTGCCCCGAGCTGCTTGAGTTTAGCAACAGCCTGTGTATAGGAAAGGGTGAGACCGGCGTGGTTGAGAACGTCAAAAAGTGACCGTGACGCGCCGCATGCGAGAAAATACATGCATGTCGTTGTTTGGAACTCGGATGCGTGGTCATTGTGTGACTTGACGAGCATGCAAATTGTAGTTGCCACTATCTACAATCATAAGTTAATAAGAGTTCATATAAATTGACCTTTTAGCGAGAACTCACCAGGTTGCGGTCCTTATGTACCAAAGTGGACTTGTGTGATCCACTGACCCGCTGTAAAAGGTCGTATAGTGTTGGGGCAAGAACCTGTGTTTGTGCAAGAACCCGCTGCAGTGAGAACCTCACAAGAATGTCTGTAATCGGAGCACCCTGGCCAGGTTGGAACTCCTTAACGAGGACCTTCCACTCGGATTCGATACGTTCAGCAGTAGTACTCAGGGCCCAATCGATGGCCATATCTGGATGGCATGCGTGAATAGAGTCAAGGAGTTCGGATCCGTGATACGAGAGCATCCGTGAGACTTGAGCGGAAAGGACGGGGTCTCTGGTATGGAAGAGGGTGTGTAGGTAGTCATGCAAGGATTTGAAACCTGCACCTCGCATACTCTGCCAAACCACTCTCAGCTGCTCAACATCAAGCTCCTCCTTCTTCCTAGCCACCAATTCTTCCTTCTCCCTCGCTTGCGTTAGCCGTTGGGCTTCGCGATCTCGTTGAATGTTCTGTATTTCTTGAGAGGTAAACTGGCAGGTGTTCTTGGCAGAAAGACGCGGTTTTTTGGGTGCGAAGCCATCGACAAACGTAAAGGAACGGTTCTGTGGAGTAGCTGGTAGGTTCTCGTCATGAGCGCGCTTGCTTCTGCTCATAGAAATCGAGGTGGAGATGTGCTCAATGGACGCGCCTCGATTATCAACGAAAGCACGTGTCGTAAATTTCCTCTTTGAGGTGATGTCGGAGCTTGAAAAAGTTCTCTGTCACATACTGATAAAGTCCTTCCAGACGTTATGGTTACCTTGCTTGTCAAGGTCTATTTCCACGGTCATATTTATGTAATCCGTCGTACTGGCCCCCAAGGTCATATATCCTTTTTATTACATCCGAAACGTAGTAGACCGCTCTAGACTGTACAGCATGTTGTGTGGTTGGGCTTGCCATCAAAGCGTACCTCCCCAAGGTCATATCTCTATTTTATTACATCCGAAACATAGTAGACCGCTCTAGACTGTACAGCATGTTGTATGGTTGGGCTTGCCATCAAAGCGTACCTCCCCAAGGTCATATATCTCTATTTTATTACATCCGAAACGTAGGGACCACTCTAGACTTCACCACTTGTTTGGTGTTTGTTTTACCTTGCTTGTCAAGGTCTATTTCCAAGCCATCATACCAACCTCGTACTGGCCCCAGTCGTATACAGTAGACACTAGAAATTTTAGGGAGGTTCCTAGGGTTTTGCATTTAGCTGTAAGTAGTGGGTTTTAGCCTGCAGTGCTCAAGGGCTCCACTGTGGGATACATCACACCTTTTTGTAAGTACAGATTTTGAACCCACTTCCATTGGCTGCGAGGAGCGAACCGCTTAAGCGGTTCGGCGATGAGCAGCCAATAAAAGATCACAAACTTACTCTCATTTCATTTTTATGTGCTCGCCATAGCGGGCTTTCATGAAATACAAGCAAGGTTTTTGTTGACATTGGAACAATGTCAAACTCTAGTATATAATTACACCCCAATAGTGTACATATCCATAACAGCTGGTATCGAGACTAACAATTTGGGGGGCGCGTATTTTTTGTGCAGAATAAACACCATATGATAGCGGAGTCTGGGTCATGAGGATGCCTTGTCAAATGGCTGTGTTAAGCAGCACAACCATCAAGCCTGCCGACAGGAGCCTCCCCGCAGACAGCACTTTTCTTGCAAGTCCTCGCTGTTTAACTCTGGTTTAACCACACAACACAACACAGTGAAGGCTCCCCCTTCAACACCTTTCCCCCATTCTCTCCTTTGCCATTTGCAGAATCATGTCGAATATACAACGCCTTCCAGCGTTCCTACCTTTTCTATTTTCGCGAGGTTGGAAGCCAGAAGCGAATGACGTTATTATTCCGTGTGTTCCCATCTCCAATCCGCTCGGCCGTAGTCTAATATTGAATATTTCCCAGAATAGTGGGCCGAGCTGGTGTAGGAAAAAGCACTGTAAGAGCTTCATGCTTCAACAACCTTTTCTATATGAATTTGCGGCTCCAGTTCATTAATCGGGTCGCAGGAAAGGAGGTAATACCCGTCCGTCACGACCTTACTACGTCGTCCCACATGGCCAAGCTCCTCCCAGTCGTTATCGATTCTTCACAAAGCGATCTTCTTAAGGACAGAAGATTGGTTCTCGTGGACACCCCTGACGTCGATGATGTTAATACCCTGCGTGACATCGGTTCCTGGCTTAAAACTATGTACGGTTCCCAAGACAGTGATGTGCATAAAGGGGAGACGAAGCTCGCTGGTATTGTTTACCTTCAAGACATATCATCAACATGCATGTTGGGGCCAACTATGAATAACCCCCCAGTTAATGTCTTTCAGACACTGTGCGGCAAAAACGCTCTGGACTGTGTGGTTCTCTGCACGACGAAGTGGTCGGATATCTACCAGAAGGACGGAGAGAGTCGGACTGAGCAGCTCAAAGACGATTACTGGAAGGAGATGATGGATGGCGGATCGACCGTCCGGAAATTCGAGGATTCTCAGGAATCTGCCTGGGATGTGATTGCACCAATAATCGCAGGCGTTGAAATAGGAAAAATGGATGCTCTTCAAATACAAGAGGAGTTGGTGGAAGCAAGGAAACTTATTCCTGACACCGAGGTGGGTCGACAGCTGCGATATAGTCTGGACCAGTTGTTAAAAAGCTTAAAACAAGCTTCTAGCAAGGATCCCTCTCAGCGCAAGGAGCTTGATGCTCAAATCGCTGCCATCCGCGATCAGATCAAAAGAATGCGTGTTCCAGTTACCCTACGCATCTTGAGATTGCTTGATCTTAGAGTCGACAAGATTCTAGACAAATTCATGTTTATGAATGCCACTACGCCGTCACCCTCTCCCGGTAACAATTTCCTTGGTAAGTTTTCTGACGTGTCCGCTGATTAATCATGGGTGCTCACCTACCTAAGTTTCCGCTGTGGAATCAGACGATACAGACGACAAGGATTTGATCATGTGCGATCCCACCTAAGGCATGACAGTTATTAGTGATCGAAGCCTTCTAAGGTACCATTGGCGGCTGGGCTCAGGTCTGTATTTGGTAAGAGAAGTTGATTTCCGAGGGGTGTTTGGGGGAACTGGCACCGCTTCTTCACGAATTCTGAGTGCGTGACAATATGAAATGAAAACTAATAGCTGCCTGTAGGCATGGGTGACAACACGTATGTTTTCCGTGAATAAACAGCTGGTTTCAGTACTGTTTCAGTATTTCTTCTTGAAAGTCATATGAAAACTTAACGAAAACCTCTTTGCATATCCACATAAGTATTCATATTGATTGTTTGGAAAGTCTGTAGCCGTAGATTGGACTTTCATATGTTTTCTGCGAAAGAAAACACTTGGAAAACACTTTATTTCCATTATATGAAGTATATTGAATGATATCTTTGGAACTTGAAGTCATAACTCATGGTGTGGTCATGTGATGTTACCACCCTGTTTTTGGCCACGTCCGTCGTCGATTGTATTTTCTTATGTCTCTCTCAACACCCTCGATTTGAATGAGCAAAAGCCCTCGCACCAAGCATGGCCTGATTTCAGTTAGAGTGTGTTGTTTCCACCGTTCTTTTCACTAATCTCACACGTAAATTTCTAGGTACTACTTTCTTTGATATTCAGAAGCTGCGGCGACTCCAACGTGCACGCATGGATTAACTGTGAATTGAATAAAAGCTTCGCTGTATGATCCCAGCCAATTGACGTCCTTTCCATGTAAAGTGACCCATTTTAGCGAGCTGCAGTGTGTTTTCTATCAATACGTTTTCTGCATAGCACTCACACGTATACTCGAGATGTTCCCTTATGGCTCTCTCAACACCCTCGATTTGAAGAAGTCCTTTCCATGTAAAGTGACCTATTCTAGCGAGCTGCAGTGTGTGTTTTCTATCAATACATTTTCTGCGGAGCGCTCAGCCATATGTTTTCCTATCTTTCTTTTGAAATCTCACTTATGGTTCCGAAAGGATGCCTGTGCGGATTACTCTTGTATGAATGAGGAAGTTTACGAAGGTTGAGATGGTTGGGATGCACAAGGTCATACCTTTGCGAAATAATATAACTACAACTTTTGTCGTCATCCCAAGTACCAGTGCAAGCGCCCAGACAAGTTGGAAAGCCCATGGCAGGAGAACACCAGGCACACGTACATAATTTTCTGTGGCTAGTCCTCATCTTCTGTGAGACGTGCCAAGAAACCTGTTCTCGAGGTGATTTAGTGCACGCCTGTGCCTCGAAGGCAAGCCCAGGTGTGATAGAAGAACCCGATTTGGCGGTGTCCTTGGCATCGCAGCAGCGGCCTTTTGACTCCAGGCGGCGGCAAGGTGCATTACTTTCTGTTTGATTCCTATTGTCCCGAAATTTACACTCATACTCATATGAAACTTAAAGGTGCTACCTGACCTGATATGCAGTTCTGCAACTCCAATTCAGAACTACCATCCACATGGACTGCCCGCAAATTGAATGCCGCAATTCATCTCACAGCAGTTGCGGTTGTGTACAACTTATATAAATAGTCTGCTTGTTCACCTCAGTGATCAGTTGAAGACCCTTTCAACGGTCGAACTGCAGTTTTCTTCCAGTGCTTGCCATCCTGTACCGTGCTCACTTCGGCGTTATCACCGTCCCGTTGACATTTCGATAGCCAAATCGCGCTTGTCACCCTCTGCTTGTCCCTTAACTATTGTTTTGTCTTTGCCGGCACCTTCAACGAATGTCGTCCCATAACCGCAACCCTATGGGTAAAAATCAACATGCTACTGTCCGTGCGTATATCATCTCAATATGTTTGATTACAATGTCCTAAAAACAGTTTAGCGTCTGTGGATGACCCTCGTCTCGCTGAAGCGCTGACGAAATTTCATCGCGAGGGATTGTCCAGTAATAGCCGTATAAAGCAGAGGCTGTTTGCAGAGTACGGGATTTCAGCCAGGTAATCCATTTATTGTCGAACATCTTTCAGCCTAATAACTTAAAATCGTGCACTTGATCAGTGTCTCTTCTATCAAGCGTCGGAGGAATGACCTTCAGTTATTGGGACCTCGTTCCAAACTGCAAAAGCTCACCAAAAAGGAGAAAGAGCAAGTTGTTTTACAACAGCTTGACAGAGACCCTTCGAAAGGACAAGGGCTCGGGACTATCAAAAATCACATTGCCCACGACCAGGGTATTCAATTGGCGCGTGACACTATATCTGGCATCATGCACCTTCATGATGTGGATGTGTTTCTTGCTCATGAGCCGGGGGCAAAGAGGATCCACCGTGTACCCAAGGCACCAATTGGCGTCCACGAGAGGTGGTCAGGCGACGGCCACGATAAGCTCTATAAGATAGGTTTCCCAATATGGGCTGTCGTCGATGATGCAACAGCGAGATGGCTCGCTGCACGGGTTGTTCCAAGCAATCGAATGGGTGACATAATCGGCTATTTATTTCTTTGCCTCGTCCTCAAATACAAAGGTACGTGATTATTACCACATCCTTATATTGAAACTGACGTCGCGCTCAGGGCTTCCTCTCCAGTTTAGTACTGATTGCGGCTCAGAAACGACACAACTGTATGGGCTTGTTAATGCTCTTCGGTGCAGTTTCCTTTCATGATAATTCTAATCTATCGTCCTCATGTCTCTGCAGCCAAATTTTTCATCCTGACTACGACATTGGTACGCTGCCTGCTCACTGTTATCTTCGAAGTGTGCACAATATCTCAATCAAGCGGTCTTGGCTGCGACTGCGCCTTGATTTTGGTGACAATGCTGTCACGGAGTACCAAAAGGGACCCCCATCCGGAAACTTCAAACCTGAAGACCCAGTTCATTCATAAGTGTCGTTTTATGCATCGCTTGCTCAGTATTGATTGCATATTCTATTTTATTAGTCAATTGAGCCAGTGGCTTTGGTCTAAAACTCTCCAGCTCGCACTCGATGGTTTCACCGAAATGCGAAATGGACAGAAGATGCGTAAAGATAATGAAAAGGCTGGTCCCTCTGGTTGCTCTCGGAATGAGGCATTCTTCTTGCCGCAGAACTTCGGCCTGGTAGACAAGCTACTCCCTCTCAACGACGATCAACTCAAGATTGTATTCGAAATCAAAGAGTTCATGGGTGGCGATGCCCTCCTTGCTTTTGCATCCCCAGAGTTCTCAGAGAAGGCGGAAATTGTGTACCAGTCCTTAGGCGTCACAGAGCTGACCATACATAATGCGTGGCATATTTTCGAGGCCCTTCTTCCATTGTTCTACATGTAATTTCACTTTTTCTGGTTTTTAATAATGAGCAGATTGCCTCCCATCCTTCATCAATTGATCACAATCAACCTGGGCTCAGGTCTGTGTGACGTGGCCTGTCTTTTTTTTTTTCAGCTCTTCAACACCTTTCACTGTGCTCATCGCAATGGCTAAGTGTTCATACTGTGGTATTGACTTTCCACTTCTGGCCGACCAGGACAATGAAGCAGGGGTTCGGTGTGGTAAATGCACTCTGCGGGTACCTGGAATCTCAGTCCCCGAAATCACAGCCATCAATGTATGCCTTACTATGCCGCAATCTTGGGGCCCACTAAAAGCCAAAATCTTAAATAGGACAAACCACAGTGTGTTGGTTGTGGTCTCACCTCCAGTCTGATCAAAAACCCTCTTTGCAATGGGTGCATCAAGACATACAGTACGGTGCCAGTTTTTCTACAACGAAGATGCACTTATTTCGAGTGGAACAGAGAAAGCACCCCACATACCAACAACCATTCTCAGGATACAAGGAGTCACGCCACTTTTATTGGAGCAGAATGCGACAGATATGGGGGGTACTGTTAGTTTGACAGAACGCGCATCGGCTATCATAAGTTCCGCCCAAGGATATCAAGCGCAAGCTTCGGATCCCCGATTGAATAAGCCCAGCACTGCACGTGGAGTAGAAGGAGGTCTCAACAAACTCAAGAACTTAAGCAAAGCGCAAACTGTTGTGGTGGAACGGAAGGCGAAAAGAGAAGAAGCCAATCTGGTTGGTACTGGGATTAAAGTTGGTGCAACGCTTTGGAAGATTCCCGAACAAGGAAAGATGACAAAGGTTGGATTACTCGCATATAAATCATATCAATTTAATCCTGGTGATTCCGGTGTTTCTAGATTGAGCCCATCCGAGTCGTTCACGTCTTTAGCCCAGAAACTGAGACGAAAGATGCACTTGGGACACTGTTGGGCATGGTCCGGAAACCATTTGTGGATCAATATCCTGATGCCGATATGTTGACGTGGTAAGTACTACGATCTTGAAATTTGCACTTCTAGTGCCGATGAACGGTTTTAGGGCGAATATTAGCCTCTATGCTCATGAAAACCAGCAAAAATACTCGTCGCTTGAACACTTTGATCAAAGGCTTCCTATGGAACAGTTTTACCATGAATTTGTCAAGGGGAAATTAGTGGCTGAAACGATGTTAAAGGACAAAAAAATTGAAATACGCTTTGCCTTTTTTGAGAACCAAGTCGTGAGTGGGAATGTCGTTTTCTCTTCTTCCTTTGTCTAAACATGATTAGTTCCATGACGGTTATCAACATTCCGCTGAGTCGTACCGCCTCCCAAGCAAATCGAGAGTGTCTTCTTTTACGAAGGCAACCTCAACTTTCGGATTGAGAAGCAAAAAACAGAGAACCGGGCTGGCCTCCAGCTCTAGCCATCAAGTCTCCGCTAGGCCGACCCAAACTTCATTTGTTTTTGCTGTACCAGATGTTCCCCAGCATGTCAATAATCGTGTGGTACTGAAAAGTGCTTTCCGGCCGACTACTGCCCCCCCCAAATGGACTCGCGATATCAAAATGGTGACTTGCTCGTTTTTACGAACCAAGGCAACCTATTCCCTTAAAGACGGCCTCAATGTACATTTTGTAACATCAGAGACTACGGAAGAGATACAAATTGCGGCCAATTGGGAAAAAGCTGGCGACGATGGATATGTTGGCGAAGGCTCTACAAAACAAGGAATATATGTCCGTGTTTAATTTTGTTATTTTACATGTTACACCTCATTAACCTTTCGTTGAAGGCGAGATTTTCAGGAAAAGAATATGTCTTAACACAGCCAATTGATTCTTACATGGACAGCAGTGCCGTAAAGAGCGTTTTGCAAGCCGAGTACGCCCTGTTATGCATAGGCGACACCCTGAAGCATGAATTTGACAACTATGCTCGTGAATCGGGTGCCAACACGCTACCAGGTGGGAATAAATTCCTCCTTTCATTCAATTCGATTTACCAATGATTCACAATGTAAAATTTTATTCAGAGTTTTACTTTAACTTTAATGGCTCGATCCTTGGGAGCTTGAGCCCAAGTCTTTCATCCCATAGCCGTCATTTAACCCATAACACTTTCATAGCCACACGTCTGTTACCCTGTGGCAAATTCGATGGAAAAATCAAGAAGTTCACAGGGAACGACGAATTTGGAGATGCTGATGATCATCTCACCAGAGCTGTGCACGCATTCTCTCATTTCACAGCCGTTTACACCCAACAAAACATTATCCTATGTGATCTTCAAGGCAAGATTTGACATTTCCCTAATTTATCAAGCTTTTCTCATCTGTTCAATGGTTTTCAGGCATGTTTGACCATGACAAGGTCATGTGTTTGGTCGATCCCCAAGGCCATACGTATGTTTCTGATTCATAAATTTTATATTACTAGGAATGAACCTTGATCATTGTAGTGCGACTACGAATAACAGTTGCCATGAGTATTGGGATGGTGGGCCCAAAAAACTTCAAGACCTCTTGAAGAACCATAGCGTTGCTTGCAAAAGTAACTGGATTTGTGGAGCGCTCCACTTGCGGGATGCTGTTGTGGAGGAGAAGGACTCGTCTCCCAGCCCTTCTGGGTATAACAATTTTGAACATCAAGCGGCAGATAAACCATGGAATAGGAAGCATCGCGGTAGTATTTCGTTCCTGATGAACGAAGCGTCGAATCAGCAGGGCCGAGTCTGCAGTGAGGGGTCAGAGTAGCGTCGGCATCATTGTTAGCGCATGTAGACACATTTCGCAGTAGGGGGCATTAGCGAGTCCTTCCAGGAATGAAGACAAACATACTTACGCTGTTAGTGCGACTACCTGTGTGAAGAGATCAAGCGCAAGTGGATGGCGTTTGGTAAAGTATGCGGATGCGCGGAGGTTTTGAGCTTGGGTGAACTTGGCGCTGTAGCGATGTCGTCGTCGATCGGATGGATCAGAGGGGGTGTTCGAGCATAAACGTGACGACCCGAGCCCCTCTGCGCATAATCTGAAGCTTTGCGCGAGTGGTAGATCCTGGCGCTGTAGCCGCCTGTCTTCTTCGTAATTGCAAGTGCCCGATCTCACTTTAAGAACTCCCCGCATCTTCACCCTCGCATGCCACAGTCAATTTGTGCATTGCCAATGTTGAGAAGGAGTTTAGCAGGCGGAAATACGTCATATTGTACCCTGGAACACCCATATCAAGGTGGAAGGGGTGCAGAAGCCGCGGGGCAGGATGTGCCGTTTCGCGGACGACAATATGTCGTCTTGGGACCTGGAGGGGCGCAGGGCACCATGGATTGGGTGGGAACGCGTCGACAGAGGCACAGGCACGGTTTGTGCAAGTAGACGTGTCGTCTTCGTGCCTGGAGGGATGCAGGACAACGTGGTGGAATCGACAACACATGAAGGGAAAAGGAAAAGACGAGAGAAGGCGGACGTCGATATGAGGCGGTGGCGTGTCGACCCACAAGGCAGGTTTCAAGAGGTGGTGATGGCTGAAAACGAAACGGGTAAGTACTTCTTTGTGCTTAACGTCTTGAAAGACTTAACGAACGTTTTTATTCTTCTCTTCTAGAGATTCTCAACCGCGACCCAACGCCATCCAATGTCCGCAAGCGACCCGCGCGTAGAGATGGCGATACACCGTGTCGAAGCCTGAGGGATTGCAGGCCGTGTAGTATGTTGAATGGCATTGGGGGTGTTCAAGAACTGCCAATACAAAGGTTCGTTTAGTTATTCAAGACTCCACACGACAGGGAGTACTTACCATTTGTTTACAGTGAAACATGCCTACCCGACCTGCAGCAGTGCTCCGTGCACTATTTGATTGCATCAGACCCCTAAGGGCTTCTAGTGCTGGCTAGGAGAGTAGACACCTTGTGGACATTGTAACCCAAAAGGATGCGGCCATCCTTGAGCTGCTTGTAGCGAAGAGAATTCTTCGAATCTCTTGGTCTATAACGCTGTTGATTAGGGGACTGAGGATTCTGGATGACAATAAACGAATAACCCCTGTGAAACACCAGACGGTACGTACCCTCCTTCATCGTCTTATCCTGGCTTTGAGATTGTCGCACGTTGTTGGCGTTGAACATTTGTTGTGTGAGCTCGGGCACTGCCATGGTGCCATACTATTGGCTGCCATGAGCTGTCAGGGGGCAAAGCCAGTCATGAGGGAGTGAGGAACTGGAGGGCAGTCAATACATGCGCTTAGAGAATTGACATCAACCCGCGTACCCATGTTATCGACAAGCTTACTCAAATCCAAGCGAAGAGAAAACCTTGTGGGGGGAACCGCACCCTCGAGGTCACACGGTAAAACCAGAGTAACGCAGGCGGCGCACGGCATACCATCCACTTAAATGCCAGCCAGTAACGAGCGGGCCATGGTCGGTTAAGAAGGAAGTGTTACAGAAACATGATGACACATCAACTTCGTTATGCCGCGCGAGGCCGCTGATATCAAGCAGGCTTAGACCCATAATACTTCTTTCTATTTACATGCTATAAGTTGAGCTATGGTGAAGTGGTCTGATCGGGCTGTATAACCAACCGCATCTATCATGCAAAGGCTGGGGTTTTGATTCAAGCCCAGTGCAACTACTGGCAACCTGCTATTTCATAAACATCCGCCTATTTTTTAGGCCAACGGTAGACATCTTTCTTTTCTATAGACATATCATTGGACTAACTAGTTTTTGCATGCAAGTCTCCGCACAAGCAGCAAAAAGACGAAACATACTATCTTGGCGTGTATAATGGTAGAGGTCACACTTGATTAATTATGAGGTCACACCGAATTGTCGACCAATGTCATGGTCGCAATGTAGCGAGGACCCCATCACGTCAAGAAGCATCTTGAAATCCTTCCTTCCGAAAAGATTTTAGACCTGAGCCCAGCCGCCAACGGTACTAAGGCCAATTCTTTGGCAATAGCTAATTGGCCTTCAAGGCCTCGGTCGCTCGGCGCTGCCATCTATATATAGATTAGCATCGCATCGAGATCCGTAAGAAGGTGCCTTTGAAGACTGAAAGTGTCTGTAAGCACTCGACCAGTGTATACGAATAATGACACACTCCCCAAATCGGGACAGCGACACATAGGGTCATAACACGACACATACGGTGAATTGCCGACACATTGGTGTGTTCCCAATGTGTTCCTGCTCTTTAGTGTGTCGATTTTACGTGTGTTCGACACATTGAGATGTGTCCAACTTCTCTTTTCTTTTTTTTTACAAGTCCTTCTGTGCCCGGGTAAATGGCAGGATAATATGGAAAAAATATGTATTCCTCATGTACGAGAAAAACAATTACTTATATGGGAAGGTATGCATACTATGTAGAAGTAGGAAGGTAGGAGGAAGGTAGGGACACCACCTGTCCCCTCCAATAATCCCTTGCTAATCTACAATTGGCGATTCCCGCACTGCCCTATCAACGCTGCATGCCCTCTCCCGAATACTAAGTCCTCGGCACCCGCACTCGTTGTCGGTGGATCTGGTTGTTGGCAGGCATTGCGGGTGTTCGTGTTGTGGCTCGCTTCATGGACGTGAATGTGGTGGGGGTACTCGCGTTCGGGCTGGTGTTCGTGTTTGTTCACAGTCGCATTTGGGGGATGGGAACGGGCTGGGGATCGTTGGTGGTGCTCTTGGCCATTCGTTGGTTGTTGTGGGCCGTTTGCCGGGGTTGGTGGTGGGCCCGCGTGGCCATTCGTTGTGGTGGGCACTCGTCATCGGTCATGGTGATGGGCTATCGTAACCATTCATCGATCCTGGTGGTGGGCCCTCGTCGATCGTGGTGGAGCCCTCGTGGCCATTCGTAGATCCTGGTGGTGGGCCCTGTGGAGGTTAGTGGAGCCTCGCCGTCGTCCGTCGATCCTGGCGGTTGGTCCTCGTGGCCAATCGTCGACGGTCGTGGTCCGCGCTCGTTGCGTTTCGTGGGGGTAGTGAGAAGAGAAGGGGTAGTGACGTGTGACATCGGGTTCGTCACCCCACCCGATTGGGATGTGTCCAACTGTGTCGCTCGCAAACTGCACACCCTCTCATCCTCAACACCGTGTCGAGGATGAGCCTTATCCCCTTTCGGGGAGTGTGCTGCTGTACGTATATCCTCCCTTTGGGACACGC